GAGGATGAGAGTGGGAGGAGGGAGCAGAGACGCGGGCTCACCAGGTCGAGGGCGACTCGCTCACTCGCGCAGCATGGCGGTCGACGAACGAGTGCTACGACATCTCATTCGACAACAGCTAGATATGTACGCCTCGCGCTTTCCTGCACGAGGCTTTTCTCGCCCCCGACTGTCACTCCTCGTCCGCCTCCTCAAAGCTGTCAAGCAGCGGGGGAGACAGAGAGTCAGTGACGTGTCCAAAAGGCGGGCTCGGGGGGTTGACGAGGTGCCGGGTGTCGAGGGACGAGTTCAGCGATCTTGGTGGATAAATTGGTGTTCTCATAGGGGAAGATAGTCCCTCTGAAGTAGCAAATATATACAAGTATAGGATCATCATGTAGATGTCCGACACCCGGCGGCAGGAGGGGAAGGAGAAAGAGAGAAAGAGGGGGCGCACCTTGACGACCTTGTCCCAGCCGGCCGAGACGATGACGGGGTTCATCGGGTTCGGCGAGAAGCGCACGCACGACACCCACTCGCTGTGGCCGTCCTCGGTGATGTTGAATTTGCATTCTCCGAGCGTGTTCCACAGCTTGATGGTGCGGTCGCGCGAACCCGAGACGATCTGGCGGTTGTCCGCCGAGAACGAGACCGAGAGGACGTCCGACGTGTGGCCGACGAACCGACGGGTGGTGAGGCCCGTGTTGAGGTCCCAGAGGCGGAGCGTCTTGTCCCACGAGGCGGACAGAGCAAACTGGCCGTCCGACGAGACGACGACGTCCGAGACGAAGCCGTTGTGGCCGTGGAGGATGCGCTTCGGGTAGCCGAACGACGCCTGCAGAGGGGAAGAGAGACCGAGTCAGTGACCGTGATCGACGAGATGATGGGGGAGCTGCTCGACGACGCGAGGATCCTCAACGCGCTCGACGACGAAGGAGCTGCGCCTCGTCGCGGACGAGCCGACGCGCCGCGCACGCGCCTCGCGGGGCAGACGGCGGGGCAGACGAGGGACGGACGCCACGACGCGTCGCGCGCGGTCCGTCGTCCGCCGTCCGTCACCCCTGTCCGCCTCGCCGCCCGTGATCGCCCTCGGTGTCCGCCTCGCCCGCCTCGCCCGCTCGACCGCCGCCGCCGCAAACTGCCGCGCCGGTACCGCACAGCTCGACAAAAGTAGACGAGACTAACGTCGTCACGGGTGAGCGACCACATGATGATGGTCTTGTCGCGCGAGGCGGTCAAGATCATGTCCGGGTTCTCGGACGACGTCGCGATGGCGGTGACATCGCCCCTGGTTGTCGGTAAAGGATGGTCGAGGTGGAAGAAAAAGTGCGACGAGATCGGCGGCGAGGGTGAGGTGGGAGGGAGAGAGGCGAGGGGCAGGGAAAAACGAGGGAAGCGCGAGCGGGCGAGGAGAGGGGGGGGGGGAGAAGGTGAGCGCTCGCTCTTATTGTAGGGGGCCAGAGAGAGTGGACACACTTGTGGCCGACGAGGCTGGATGCGCAGAAGCGCACAGGCACGGCAAAAGGGGAGGCAGGAGAGCGTCAGGACGGCGAGTTCGAGGTGGTGGTGCAGAGGTCGTCGGGGAGGCGGCCGCACCTTCCCTTGAAGATGAGGCTCTCGGACACTGTGTGCGGCAGGTTGTCAGGACCGTGTGCGGCAGGTTTGGGGCGGGCAGGCGGACGTACTGTTGGCGTGGGCTCCGGAGGAAGAGGGGAGAGGCGAGCGAGAGAGTCGCGGCCACAAGTCGCGGCGGCGCGGGCACCGAGCATTTTTGCCCTCGCCCTGTCGCCTCCCTCTCGCTCTCCCTGGCTCGTTCGGTGCGTCCTGGCGCCCGCTCGATTCGTCTGCTTGCAAGCGAGCCACACCGCTCGAGCCGCGACAAGGTGCCGACGACGACACCGTCCTCCTCCTCTCGCCTCGCTCGCTCGAGCTCACCCCCGCCCTTGCTGCTCGATCGCACATGCCACGCGGCCCTTTTGTGCTCTCCTTTGCGCGCAACAAGCTTGCTACATCGCTCGAGCGGGTCTGCGGACACTCGCGCCCAGCGGCCGAGGCTACCTGCTCTCCGTCGCGCCCGCTGTGGCTCGCTCCTGCGCTGCTCGCAACAGCAAGGGTGGTGCTGAACAGCAAGGGTGGTGCTGCGGCCGCCACGAGCAGGATGTTGGCTGTCCGCGACTGCTGGACCACGCTGCAGCCGAGCAAGAGGGCGTGACGAGGCGAGAGAGTCGCGCGCAGGTGCAAAGCGAGCCAGATCGTGCCGCGCGAGGCGCAGACAGGCGTGCTAGAGACGCCGTTTACCGCCAGAGCAGCCAAGCGGTGCCTCGTGAGAAACTCGGGCGAGCAAGAGGACAGCCGAGCTGGTCGAGAGACCGGTACGGGGCGGAGAAGCCGCGGGCGGAGAGCAGGAAGTCGGCGGGGACCGGCAGCTCGGGCAGGTGCGCTGTGCGGGCAGATCTGGCGAGAAAGCGCTGCCGAGCAATCGAGCGCAACCAGCGAGGCGCAAGAGGCCGACGTGGACGCGTGAGAGGCGGCGGAAGGGAGAGCGAGAGCGGGCGGAGGGGGCGAGGACGAGCGCGAGGACTTGGGCGCGGCGGCCGTCCGCTTCTCCTCCAGCTCTGCTCACTCCTCAGATCGCTTAACGAGATGGCCCCCAAGATCGACCCGACGGAGATCAAGGTGAGCCCTCGCCCAGTCCAACTCGCCCCTCGCTGCGACCGCCAGCCGACCCTCGGCGTCGCCTCGTCGAGGTCGAGTTTGTCCCCGCGAGCCAGCACCCACTGACCACGGCCCGCCATGCCCGCCTTGTCCTCCCGTGCAGATCATCTACCTCAGGGCCACCGGTGGCGAGGTCGGCGTGCGTCCCGGTCCTCTTCCTCTGGCCGCGAGCGAGAGCTCCCCCTCCCCCGACTCGAGCTGACCCTCGCACTCTCTCCCCCTCGCAGGCCTCGTCTGCCCTTGCCCCGAAGATCGGTCCCCTCGGTCTCGTGAGTCGACAAACGCCCTATTCGACCACCTTGCGCCCGCGGCCGGCGCAACGACGGAGCCCGGTGGAGCGGCGATTGGCGGCGGGACTTTGCCCGGCCGCGCAGGGACGGCGGCAGCATGGACGAGGCAGCGCGCGCGGTCGACGAGGCGCTGCAGGCAGCGTGGGACGGTCGAGCGAGGGCGGGCGCGCAGCGGTGCGGCACGGCGAGCGGGATGGCGAGTTGGCGGCGAGGACGGACCGGGAGGGCGGGCACCGCTACGTCCACCTCTCGCTCTCTCAGTGCGGCGTACTGACCTCTCGTCCCACCCACAGTCGCCCAAGAAGGTCGGCGAGGACATCGCCAAGGCCACCGGCGACTGGAAGGGTCTCCGCGTCACGGTCCAGCTCACGATCCAGAACCGTCAGGCTGCCGTCTCGGTTGTCCCGTCGGCGTCGTCGCTCGTCATCCGTGCGCTCAAGGGTGCGTCGACTGGTCCCTGCCTCCTTCGAGTCGGGCGGCAGGAGGTTCGGGTCGATGGTGGGGACGCCGTACTGACCCTCTCCCTCTCTCCCCTCGCTCGCGCCCCACAGAGCCCCCCCGTGACCGCAAGAAGGAGAAGAACATCAAGCACTCCGGCAACGTTGAGCTTGACGCGTGCGTCCCCGTGCTCCCCTGCCCTCTCTCGCACCACCCCCTCGAGCAGCTCCTGACCGTCTCGCCCGCACACAGCGTCATTGACATCGCGCGCACCATGCGCGATGTCAAGAAGACCCTCTCTGCGTCGCTCGCCAACGGCGTCAAGGAGATCCTCGGCACCTGCCAGTCGGTCGGCTGCACCGTCGACGGCCGCCCGCCGCACGATGTCATCGAGGCCATCGACTCGGGCGACGTCGAGATCCCCTCCGAGGTGCGTCCGCTCTCGCTCTCCTTCTTCTCCCTCGAACCTTCTCCTGACGCCGTTGCCCCACCCCGCAGTAAACGAGCACCTCCAAGGCGCTGGCGTGTTGTAGCTGCCCTGGTGCTGGTCGGGGAAAGAGGAGCGAGGCTTTGCATGGCAACCCCTCGTTGTGCGATCTCCTCTCTTGTCCGTTCCTTGCGCGAGAGTGAGACAGTTCGCTTTGCCTCTATTCCGCAGCCGAGAGCGAGAGAGAGGAGCTTCGGCTCGAGTGCGGTGCGCCGCTTCTGTCGCCCTCCTCCACCTCGCCTGCCAGCTCCCAGCTATGGAGCGAGACCTGCTCAAAGCGCGCCTGTCGCGCATGCCGCAGCTGCCCCCGCTCGATGCGCCCGCCCCCACGCGCGCGCCCTTTGCTGCCGCCGAGCGAGATGAGGACGGTGAGGAGGACGAGCAGCGCGACTCGTTCGACCTGATGACGGCGCCTGCTGTGCGGTGCGTCCCCACTCTCCTCTCTCTCTCGCGACCCCTCCAGCCCCGCCGCTCACCCTGCGCCGCAACAGCCCCGGCCGCCGCCGCATCGGCACCCCGGGCGGCTCCTCCTCGACGCAGTACAGCCCGCTCACCGCCGAGGGCACGTTCGACTCGTGCCTCGAGGTCAACGTCCTTATCTCGTCGCCCTGGGCCGGCCCGTCCACCTCGACCTCGCCCGCCGAAGCCACCTTCCGCACCTACTACACGGCGCCGCGCCTCGACCCGGGCGGCGAGGGTGGCAATGGCACCGTGTTTGTGTGCGTGCACGGCGCAGGGTACAGCGCGCTGTCGTTCGCCGAGCTCGCGAGGGCGCTGGCGGGCGCAGAGGCGGAGGACGCCGCGGCGGCGAGGGGAAAGGGAAAGGGCCGCAGGGCGAGGGTCGGCGTGCTCGCGTACGATGCGAGGGGACACGGTGCGCCCCGATGTCTCCTTCTACTCGATATTCGAGACGACCCCCTGACCTCGCACGAGCGCGCGCACACAGGGAGGACGAGATTGCCCGACTCGCCGACCTCGACCTCGCCCACCGTCGACATGTCGCTCGCGCACCTCTCGGCCGACCTCGTCGCGCTCCTCAAGACGGTCTTCCCCGACCGAGCGGCGGCACCTGCACTCGTCCTCGTCGGTCACAGCATGGTACGTCGCCCCTCTCTCTTCTCCCTCATCGTCGCGAGCCACGAGCCTGACCTGCCCTTGCCGACCTCGCAGGGTGGAGCAGTCGTCGCCGACGCGTGCAACCGCATACAGCGCGAGGTCGCAGATGTGACGGGCGTCGCCGTCATTGACGTCGTCGAGGGTGAGCTCCCTCGCTCCCTTTTCCCATTTTCCCACCTCGTCGAGGCGCACGAGGTCTGACCGTCGCCTCGCCCACAGGCACCGCCATCGACGCCCTGCCCAACATGGCGGCGCTCATCGCCGGGCACCCCAAGTCGTTCGACTCGCAGGCCGACGCCATCGCGTGGCAGTGCGTCCCTCTCCCTCTCCTCCTCTTCTTTCTCCCCACGCACCACTCACTCGCCCGCTCGCCGTCCCGCAGCGTCCACTCGCGCACGATCAACAACCTGCAGTCGGCGCGCGTGTCGGTGCCGCCGCTCATTCGGCCAGCAGGGCCGAGCGGGGCGGGAGGAGGTCCGAGCGAGGGCCCGTACGTGTGGCGCGTCGAGCTCGAAAAGACTGAGCCCTACTGGCGAGGTGCGCCCACTTTTCTCTCTCTCCCTCTCTATGTCTTTCTGTGTGTGTGCGTCGCCAGAGACTGACTCTCGCTCGGCATCGGCACACAGGATGGTTCACGGGCCTGAGCGCCAAGTTCCTCGGGTGCAAGGCCGCAAAGCTCCTCCTCCTCGCCGGCACCGACCGACTCGACAAGGAGCTCTTGATCGGGCAGATGCAGGGTGCGTCCGAATCTCTCATTCTCGCGCGCGCCACGAGTTGAGCGAGCGAACTGACAGAGCGCGACTCGCGACGCAGGACGGTACCAGCTCGAGGTGTATCCCGACGTCGGCCACAACGTGCACGAGGTGCGCTGCCTCTCCTCTCTCACGTCCCTCCCTCCCACCGCCACCCGCCAAAAGACCCTGACCTCGCCTTGCCCCCTCCTCCTTCTTCTCGCGCCTCGTTCGTCTCGTGCAGGACGCACCCGCCCGTACGGCCGAGACGCTCCTCGATTTCTGGGAGCGCAACGACCGGACAGACGTGCTGCGCGGCGTCAAGAAGGTCGGCGAGGCCTGAGTGGCGCGGCAGGTCGATGAGGTTGGGCGGTGCGGGAGGCGCGACGCCGAGGCACGAGTGCAACGTGGTCGGTGTGCGCCTCGATGTGACTGAGAGTGCGACTGTTCGCTCGAGCAGGCGAGCTGAGAGATTGAGCGGCGTCCTCGTTGCGGCGAGCCAGCCAGACTTTGCCAGACCGACCCTCTCGCGCCTCTTTCTGCTCGAGCTGCTCTGCCCGTGCGCTCCGACTCTCAAGAGACTGCGAAAGCGAGAGGGAATAAATCTAGTATGGCAACAAACGCCGAGCGACAGCTACTTTGCGCGGCCCGAGCACCCTCCCTTCCGTCTCTCATGCCCGAGCCGGCACGAGCACCTCGAACGTCGACCTGTGCGCGATCGGGAGCACCTCGACGGCGACGGCAGCCGTCAGGTGCTGCGTCTCGCACGCGACGAGCTGGGGGGCGGCGCCGGGCGACGCGAGGGGCGTGATCGAGATGGACGGGAGGAAGAGGGACGAGGGCCGGAGCGGGATGAGGGTGAATGGGATGGAGAGGAGCTGGCCGTCCTGCGTGCGTCGAAGAGAGAGGTCAGTCTACAAGACGTGGTGACGAGGAAAGTGAGAGAGAAAGTGGGGCGCACCTGCGCGACGAACTCTCCCCTCGCCTGCCCGCCGACCACCCACTCGCCCGGGTTCGCGACGACGGACCACACGAGCCTGATCTCACGCTCGTCCGCCTCGCCGAGCTCGGCGCGCGACCAGTGAAAGGTCGGCTGGATCGTGAGCGTCGCCGGGATGGCCTGGCCGACCTCGACTCGAGAAACGGCGGGCGAGATACGGACGAGGTTGAGGACCTGTGGGAGGGGGACGACCGCAGCGTGAGTACCGCGTTCTGCTCGTCGTCGGCGAGGCAGAAAGAAGGAGAGGAGGACGCACGTTGAGTGCGGGGAGCTCGAGCGGGATCTCGAGGGTGCGCCACAGCCCGGGAGGGTCGACCGACGCCGTCGCCTGCAACGCCTGCGCGCTCGTCGTGCGGGTTCAGTCGGTGTGCGACTTGAAGGTTCGAGGAAGAGAGAGGCGGGCGCACCGTGTACACCTGCCGGACCGCCGCCAACACCTCGTCCTCGACCTCCTTGCCGACGAGGCAGAGCTCCATTCTTCTCCTCCACGTGCGCTCGTCGAACGACAGGTGCTCGAGCGACTCGTCGGCGCAGTACGCCTCGACGTCGGTCGACGAGAAGGCGTCGGACAGGAGGGCGGCGACGATCCAGCGCTGAAGAGGGACGAGGGTGGACGACGAGAGGGTGGCGAGGGCGGTCGAGCGGACCCGGGTGCGCAGGCCTGCGAGGATCAGAGTGTCAGTGCATGGCACAGAGCGCTCGAAAGGGGAGGGCTCGACGCACGATGCTCGGTGGACGAGTAGCTCAGGACGAGGCGGAGCGGATCTGCGGGCGCGCGAGACGAGGTCACCGACTGGACGAGTCGAAGAATGGGCACGAGGGACGCACCTTTGACGCTCGACGGGTCGTCGCACGTCATCTTGAACAGGAAGTTGGCCGTCTGCGCCGGCGCGAGAATCTGGATCCGCCGAATACGGTCAGGCGCGGCTCGAGAGAGAGAGAGAGGGAGAGAGAAGGAGAGGGCGACGAGGACGCACAACGGGCTTGTCGCTCTCGGGCCTGCACGCCTTGACCGTGACCTTCTTGGGCGCCTGCATGTGCGCCGACCGGACCTTGAGCGCGTGCATGCCGTCGGTCGTGACCGAGAACTTAGACAGCAGGCTGCGAGCGCTCGAGGGCAGCGTCAGTCACAGTTGCCCCTCACGGCCCAGCTCGAGAGGCGGAACGAGAGGACGGACCAGTGCTTGCGGAAGTAGTCCTGGACGTTGACGGCGAGCGGGAGCGCGATCGAGTAGGCGAACGTGCTGCGCAGGGTCCTCCTCGTTGATGGTCGTTTTGCCGTCGCGTATTCTGCAATGACCGTGAACTGCGTGCAGCTCGCCAATCACCTCATCAGTGCCTCGCTCTGCTCGGGAAGAAGGAGGACCGAAACGGACAGGCGGGCGCACCTCGACGATGGGCGAGACGATGTTGCCCCGCAGCGGCACCTTGACGCGCACGGGCTCGAACGGCCGCAAGCCCTCGAGGACGAGCGTGTCGTTCGTCTCGGAGCGTCCGAGCCGCGCCTGCGCGCCCTTGCCCTCGTCGACGAGCTGCGCGTCCGGCGCCGCGAGATGCACGTCCGGCGTCGCGACGACGAGGCGCAGCGAGATGCGCGTGACGCTGTTGCGGCCCGGGTCGGCGACGACGATGATCTCGCGCTCGCGGTCGAGGTGGACCGAGTCCGGCTCGTCGGTCGAGACGACGACGGCCTGGTGGTCTGGCGCGAGGAAGAGCGACGGCTGTTTGCCCGGGGCAGTCGGGACGATGCGAGGATCGGGTGCGAGGTTGCGGGTCGAGGGAGGGCGGTGCGAGTACTGGAAGATGATGCGCGAGAAGCGGAGCTGGGAGAGCTCGAGGGTGAGGCGGCCCGATACCGAGGTCTGCTCCACGAGGAGGAAGAGCGGTCAGTTCCAGGCCGTTCTCGACGGCGACGAGAGGCAAAGAGGCAAGGACGCACAGGACAAAAGACCGTGACAGGCGTAGAACCGGGTCGCAGGACGCACGAGCCGCTCGTGAGCCAGACCTGCTCGCCTGCGGCGGTCGCGAGCTTGAGGCGGACCTCGTCGACGCGGACCTCCTGCGAGGGCAGCGACATCAGGCCATGCTGCAGGACAAAGAGAAGAGGGAGGAGACGCACACAGGGTAACACGTTGCGGACCGAGACGACCGCCGTCATGCCGTCCTCGTCTGGCGCCCTCGCGCCGCTGTCCTCCTTGAGCGTGATCTCGAACGTCGGGAACGCGACAGCCGCAAAGTCTGCAGGTCGTGCTCGCCGAATCAGTCATCCTCGTCGTGCTTGTGCCCCTGACGGGAAGAGAGAGAGAGAGAGGACGCACCCTTGGTTAACGTCGCCGACAGGTCGTACACGTCCCTCATGAGCCGCCTCGCGCACTCCTCGTTCTGGCTGTGGACCTCTGCGCCCTCCTCGACGAGCGCCTCGAGGCCCCACGTCCTCCCGCCGTACGTGACGCCGGCGCGCACGAGCGCGAGCGTCGACAAGAGGCGGTCGCGCGGCATGTCGAGCGCGTGCTGGAGCTCGGTGCAGCGCGACAGGAGGAAGGCGTCGATCGAGGTCCACCGCGAGTCGGTGTAGTGCACGGGCAGGGCCGAGTAGTGCTTCTGCGCGGCGGCGAGGTGCTGGCGGTGGCTGTGCGCGAGTGGGGAAGAGGCGAGGAAGGACAGGTTGGCGAGGGACGACGAGTCAGTTGGGCAATCACGAGACAGGCGCGAGAGGACGAAGAGGGCAGAGGACGCACTGCTCGAGGGCGGCGAGGAACGCCGAGACCTTGGCCGCACTCCTCCTTCTCCCGCTCGCCTGGTACGCCTGCGCCGTCCTGCTCGCGAGGTTCGTGTACAGCCGGTCAAACGTGCCCTCGTCGCCCATGGCGGCGATGAGGTCCTGGCGCGTGACGGGCGGCGTCGTGCGCGTCGGCGACTGGAGCGAGCGCGTGGCCGACGAGGGCGTGCCCGGACGGGTCGACGAGGTCGACGGCGCGCTCTCGTTGAAGCTCATCGAGAACGGGTGCACGGCGGGGAGGTGCCCGGCGCCCATGCCGATCTTGTCGAGCTGCGGGATAACGGCCGAGTACGAGTGAGTTCGAGGGCTCGGACCGCGAAGGAGGACGAGGAGGAGACAGGGGCGCACCTGCTTCTTGGCCAGCTCGAGGAGCTCGGCCTTGACGGCGACGAACGACGTCGTCGTGTCGAGCAGGTCTTGCTCGATGCGCGCCTCGCACTCGGCGACGAGGGTGAGGCACGCCGAGTACGTCCACGACTCGACAAAGTTCTGGCCGAGCGCCGCCTGCGCCGGTCCGTCCGAACAAGTCAGTCTTCTGCGCCTCGGGCAAACGCTGCGCAGAGACGAACGGGGAAACGTGTCGGCGCACCTGGTGCTCGCGCAACTTGCGCGCAAACGTGCTGACAAAGTAGGCGCCCCTCCTCGCGACCTCGACGACGCGCCCGAGATGGTACAGCATGGCCGCCTGGCGCGCAAACAGGTACACGCGAAAGTCAAAGATCGTGATCGTGTTGCTCTCGACGAGCTTGCGGTACGGCTTGTGGCCCGTCGACAGGATCGAGAGCGCGTCGTCGCCCGGACCGAGCCCGCCGATGTTGCGGAACCAGGGCGCGTTGCCGTGCTCTAGAGGGAGATAGAGAGTCAGTTCATCGTTCAGGAGCGAGAGAGGCACGAGAGACGCACCCTTGGCGTTCTGGAAGAAGGCAGCCTCGAGCTCGTCGTACTGGATGAGGGCGTCCTCGTACAGGGTCATGGCCTCGAACGAGTCGGCGAGCGCTTCCTTCGGGTCGCTCAAGAGGTCGTCAGGGGGCGCGCTCATCACGCAGAACGGAAGAGAGAGCGCGAGGGACGCACTTTTTGGCGAAAGAACGGGAGGAACTGCCACCCTTCGAGCTGGCGCTGGCTGTCGGCCTTGCGGACGTTCTCCTCGTACAGGCCGACGTTGGTGTCGAAGGTGGCGACGACGCCCTCCTTGACCTTTGTGAGGAACTCGGCCCAGGCGGTCGGGTCGTCGGCCGAGGCGCCCTGGACGACCTGGATGCAGCGGTCACGCTTGCCGACGTTAAAATCGGCCTTGATCTTGTCGACGATGGTGCCCTTGCGCTGGTAGAACTTTGCGGCGCCGCGCCCGTTGTGCGTCACGTGGACGACGAGCCACTCTTGGTGGTGCCGCGCCGTGATCGTGTCGAGCCACTCGCGGATCTGGTGCCGCAGCGTCGCGCGGTACACCTCGTTGTCCTGCGTGCCGAGTGCGAGTGTGAGCGCGCGACGAGAGAGTACGCGAGAGAGAGAGAGGGGACGCACGTCGCACACGACAAAGAGGAGGTGCAGGTACGGGCGGTCGAGGAGGTCGTGGGCGGCGTGGAACGAGGGGAGCGGGCGGACATCGAGCGGGAGGGTCTGGATGGTGCGGATGGTGCGGTTGGCCGAGGTTTTGCGGACCCAGTGGAGGTTGCGGAGCGGGAGGTGTCGCTCGACATCGCCTCGGACGGCCTCGAAGTCGGCGTTGGACGGGAGCGCCTCGTAGGCGATGCCGACGCGATTGGCCATGTGCGCAGGCCGCCCGTTGGAGTGGTGGGTCGCCCCGCTGGCCTGGACGCCGTGTCGAGCTCGAGGACGACGACGACGACCCGAAGCGGGGAGATGAGGAACAACGACGGCGAGCGACGGCGGCGCGAGCTCGTCTGGCGAGATTCGAGTCGGCTGGGTGGCGGCTGGAGAACTCGCAAGAGCTGCAGCTGGTGCTAGCTCTGCCGGTCGAGGCGGTTGTCGACAAGATGAGGCCCGCTCTCCCCTCCCCTCCTCCTCCTCCCCCTCCTCGTCCCCCGCCCACGATGCGGCTCTCGGGCTGGCTGGCCCTCGCCGCCCTGCTGCGAGCCGCTCTCCTCGTGTGGGGCACCTACCAGGACGCGCACTCGCCCGTCAAGTACACCGACGTCGACTACCTCGTCTTCTCGGACGCCGCCCTGTGCCTCGCCCGGCCAGCCTCGCCCACGCCGACGTGCGCCCACGCCAAGGGCCCACTCGCACCGCACTGGCTCGGCGACCCGTACAGCCGCGCCACGTACCGCTACACGCCCCTCGTCGCCCTCGCCCTCGTCCCAAACCTCCTCGTCCACCCGCTGTGCGGCAAGCTCCTGTTTTCCCTGTGCGACCTCGTCGTCGGCGCACTCCTCCACGCGCTCCTCGTGCGCAGGGGCGCCACCGAGCGGTACGCAGGGAGGGCCGTCGCCGCCGCGTGGCTCGTCAACCCGATCGTCGCCAACATCTCGACGAGGGGCAGCAGCGAGGCCCTCGTCGGCGCCCTCGTCGTCTCGACCCTGTCGCTCGCCGAACGCGCACGGTGGGACGCCGCTGCCGCCCTCTTTGGCGTCGCCGTCCATGTCAAGATCTTCCCGTTCCTGTACGGCTCGAGCCTCGTCGCCGCGCTCGCCGCGTCGGCTCGAGGCGACGCGTGGCGGGCCCTGCGCCGCATGCTGCGCTTCGGCGTCGTCAGCTTTGCCTGCTTCATGGGCCTCAACGGCGCACTGTACCTCCTGTGCGTCCCGGGCCCTCTGCCTCGCCGACGATCCTTCGCTCGAGTGAGTCTCATCGCTCATGCTCGCTCGCCCCGCCACAGCTTCGGCCAGCCGTTCGTCCAGGAAACGTTCCTGTACCACCTCTCTCGCCTCGACCACCGCCACAACTTCTCGGCCTACTTCTACCCGTTCTACCTCTCGGCGTCGCCCTCGAGCCCGGCGCCCTCGTCCGCGTGGCAGCACCTCGCGCGCCACCCTCTCGCCGCCTTCCTGCCGCAGCTCGTCCTCTCGCTCGGGCTCGGCGCCTTGTTCGGCGCGCAGGACTTGCCGTTCGCGTGGCTCGTACAGACGGTCGCGTTCGTCACGTTCAACAAGGTGTGCACGTCGCAGGTGTGCCTCGTTCTCTCCCTCTCTCGCTTGTACAGGCCGAACTGATGAACCTCGACGCACGCAGTACTTCCTGTGGTACCTGTGGCTCCTGCCCGCCGCCCTCCCCTCCCTGTCCTTCTCCCCTCGCCGCGCCATCCTCGTCGGCTCCGTTTGGGCCCTCACCCAGGTGCGCCTCCTCTCTCTCTCCCTCTCTCTCTCACGCCGTGTAGCGCAGGCCCTCTGACCTCGTCCTCGTCATCGCCCCCGCGCAGGCCCTTTGGCTCTCGCAAGCCTTCCGCCTCGAGATGCTCGCCGAGCCGCGCTTCCGCGAGGTGTGGGCCGCCGGCATCGTCTTCCTCGTCGGGCAGAGCTGGGTCCTCGCCGAGGTGCTTGGGGCGTGGACGGGGAGGAGGAGGAGCGGCGCGGGATGGGCGGCGGCAGGGACGGTCGAGAGGAGGGGCAGCGAGGGCAGGGAGGCCGAGTAGAAGAAGCTGTCGAGAGGTCTCTCTCGCGCTCGCGCAATGTACATCGAGAGTCACTGATCAAGCGGTAGTATTGGCAGAGCTCGCCCGGTACGAGAGACGTCCCCCTCGGCCCTCCCTCAGCGCACGAGATGGATCCCGACAACGCGGCGGTCGTGCGACGAGTCGATCTTGAAGTACAGGGCGTCCGGGTCCTCGAGGCGCCTGCCGCTCGTCTGCGAGGAGAGGGAGAGAAGGTCAGACTCGAGGCGAGAGAGGACGAGAGAAGGAGAGAAAGAGAGAGAGAGAAAGGTGGGCGCACCAGCTCGTCCCAGCTCTCGAGCGTGCGCACGACGTGCCCGCCGACCGTCTCCTCGTCGACCTCGAACACGCCGCCCATGCCCCTCAGCTCCTCGACCGTCGTCCCCTCGCCGAGCCCCTCGCCCCCCTCGAGCAGCGCACGGACCGCCTCCCTGAACGCCCTCTCGGGCACGCACGCCCACGCCGCACACTGCGCCGCGCCCGCGCCGTGCTCGTCGCGCAGGTGCTCGACGACGTGCGGGTACACGAGCTTCGCCGAGCACGCGCCGCAGCGGAAGAGGGCCGTCGGGCGCGCGAGGATCGGGTCCATGTCGGCGTCCGAGACGAGGTGGTGGAGTGGCGCGCGGTGCGGGTCGGCGTCGAGGAGCTCGGTCGAGAGAATGAAGGCGATGTGCGGCGAGAGGGACGTCGAGGGGAGGTTGCGCACGATGCGCGAGAAAAGGCGAAGCTTGAGGAGGCGCATCGAGCGCAGGACGTCGGCGAGGATGATCGAGTACGAGGCCGACCACGTCGACGGGTCGACGACGGTCGAATCCGGGTACCAGAGAGGCTGAACGGAAGGAAGAAAGGCAATGTCGTCGAACGAGGGGGAGATGCGGCGAAGGGACGGCGGCAGGAGAGCGAGGATCGGGATGGCGAGCGGGCGCATCTCGTCGAAGCGGCCGGCGCGACGCTCCTCGAGCTCTGTGCGGAGGCGGACAAGACGACGGCGGTGGACGTAGGTGACGACCCACAGCTTGACGTCGTCCCACTCGACTGCGTGCGAGTCGGACCGTCAGACCGGGCCGTCGATGGGGAGGGAAAGAGGGACGCACTGTCGTCCTCGTTCTCGCCGAGAAAGTACTCCTCAAGGCGGTACGACATCTCGCATGCCTCCTCGTCCCACTCGTCCTCTTCCTCCTCCTCAGAGAACCACAGCTCGTCCTCCTCTTCCTCCTCCTCGCTGTCCCAGTCGTCCTCTTCCTCCTTCTCCGAGTCCTCCTCGTCACGGCGCTCGGGCCGCTCCTCTCGCTCGACAGGCACCCACCACCAGGTATCGTCCCACCACTTGTTGGTGAGGTCGCCGTAGCTGAATAGCGTCGACGTCAGGACACCGAGAGTGGCAGAACGGGAGAGAGAGGATTGGGGACGCACTCGTCCGGCTTGTACCCGAGCGCCTCGAGCTCTTGCTCTGCACTGCAGGCCCAACGAGTCAGACGACGTCTCACGCTGCATATGGGCAAAAGGGAGGACGCACTGGATGCGCTTGCACCTGATCTCGTCGGCCCAGTCGGCGTCGGTGAGGACGTGGACCTGCGTCCTCAGGAGGCCCGCCTGCGCGTTCATGTCGACAACGTCCTTGAGGCGCGAGTCGACGTAGTTGGATACCGCGTCATCGACATCGCGTCCGCTGCGCTCGCCGAGCGCCTCGACACGCAGAAGGTGCGCCGACTGGAGGAGGACGTCGGGCGTGTAGTAGCTGACTGCGAGGTGCGCGCGAGTGTCAGTTTGCGCCCGGCCATTCGGGAAGCCGGCAACTCACTCTTGATGGCGCCGGTGGTCGGACAGGGTCGACCTGTGTGAGCGCAGAGGTTAGGCAAGATCCGCAAGGTCGACGAGGCTCGAGAGGTGCTCACCCTGCAAAGAGAGAGAGCAGTCGTACGCCAAGTAGTGCACGTGAGAGTACTCCTCCTCGATCTCGTCCTCGGTGCCGACCCTGCGTGATGGCGAGCCGAGTCAGTGCGCGTTCGTCGAGAAGGCTGCGACGAGACGGACTTGTGGGTGCGACAGCCCTCGCACACGCGCATGCGTAGACCCGTGTCGAAGTATTTCCAGCAGCTCACCCCACACGCCTGCTAGGAAGAAAGTCAGCCTCGTCGAGCGGTCTCGACGGGAGCGCGCGAGGGAAAAGCGGACGAGCGACGCACCTGGCACTCCCGGCCCTCGAGCAGGTGCGCGTACCGCACAATGCTCGTCTCCTTGTCGAGGTTAACCGGCCAGCCCTGCTTCTCCCTCACGAGCTCCCACAGCGCCTCGGTCGACCCGGATCGCGTGAGGAGGAGCCGGCGCAGGGCCTTGCTCGTGCGGCTGAGGGCGAGGAGCACGCCGAGCGAGGCGTGCTCGCAGATCTGGGTGACGGTGAGGGTCAGCTTCACGTCTTTAGTGCCGAAGGAAGGGCGGAGAGAGAGGGACGCACGAGGAAGAGGAGCTCGAGAGGGAGACTCGCGAGTTGGTCGACCCTGGGCAACAGGTCCTGGTCATTGTGGTGCTGCGTGTCGGCCTCGAGCTTGAGCGACAGGTCTGTGTGTGCGGCAGCCTGGTCAGTCCGCTGTGCGACTCGGGCGAGAGGGCGAGAGGGAGATGAGGACGAGGGACGCACCTTCCCACGGCCGTCCTCCCGAGCTCTTGAAGCGAGGCGGCGCGCTCGCAGGCTTGTACGAGCGCGTAAAGATCGGTGCGAGTGGCCGTGCAGCCATGGCGTGCCAGCTGGGGGCGAGAGCGAGAGCGTGGGAGGAGCGAGACGAACCAAGCGAGCTGAGCGCGCCCGAGTCGCCGAAGCGGAGAAGCCGTCGTCGAGGGGAGGCCTGCAGGAACGACTGAGAGAGTCAGATGCAGCTCCTGAACAGTATGAGAAGAGCTTGGACGCACCAGATTGACAGCTCGAGACGACGCAGCGAGGCCGCCTCGTCCTCGTGAAAGTTGCTCGCCGACGTCTCGCAGCGCCAGATCAAGAGGAAGAGAGAGAAGGTATGGTACAGATCACATTGCGGTGTTGCGCTCCCTGCTGAACATGCGAGTGCGGCTCCTGCTGCTCGTCCTCGTCGCCGCCTTGACCCCTCATCCTCCCTGTTCCTCCTCCTCGAGGCCGCTCACTGCCCGTCGCCCTTGAGCGACGACCGGCCTGCGCGCTGTAGACGTACGAGAGGGTCAGGTCGGACGTCGCGAGAGAGGCCGATTCAGGAGAAGAGAAAGGGGAGCGCACCATCATCTCGTCGGTGATGAGCAGGTTGGACGCGATGACGGCGCTGTCGACGTGGAGGAACGAGATCAGTCCGGGTCTTTGAAAGAAGGAGAGAGGGGGCAGAGCACGCACGCCGAGTGGATCATGTGCCGCTTGACGCGGTAGTTGTCCCAGATACCCTCGGTGACCGGGTCTAGCGGCTCGCCCGTCGACAGGTCGAGCCCGACCACGTGCCCGTCCATCGCCTCGTCCTGCGCGCTCGCAAGAGTACCTGATCAGTACCTCGTCGCCAGATGAAAGGGCGACGACCGAGACCGAGTCGAGGGAGAGAGAGAGCGAGCGACGCACCTGCAGCGCAACGACCGCGTCCTGCACGTCCAACCCGGCATTGACGGCGAGCGTCTTGGGGACGCACAAGAGCGCGTCGGCAAACGCCTGCACGCCGAGCTTTGCGCGGCCCTTGGCGTCGCGCTTGACGACCTCGGTCAGGTGGGCGTGCGCGGCAATCTCGAACGCGCCCGCGCCGGGCACGAGCGTGCCGTCCTCGAGCGCGTTCTTGACGGCGCGCAGGCCGTCGCGGACGGCGTCCGAGATCTGGGCGATCGTGTGCGCGTTCGGGCCTGCGTGGGCGGGGGGAGAGACAGAGGGAGGGAGGACGAGAAGGGTCAGTCGGCTCCTGCTCGTCGGCGTCGACCCGCACCCGCCTCGTCGCAGCGACGACGACCGTCTGAAAGAGGGAGAGAATCACGAGGACGCACCCTTGACGAGGAGCGTGACGCTCTTGGGCTCGAGGACCTCCTCGACGAACGTGAACTTTTCCTCGCCGAGCGTGTGCTCGTACACGAGGCCGGCGTGGCCGAGGACGTCGGGCGTGAGGTCGTCGACGCTGTTCTGGGCCGTGCCGCCGCACACGAGCTGGAGGCGCTCCATGTTGCGGCGCTTGGCGCGGCGCAGGGCCATGATGCCCTGCTTGGCGAGCATGTCGAGCGAGAGCGGGTCGATGCCCTTCTGGTTGATGACGACGAACGACTGCTGCTCGCCGATCGGGTTGCCGTCCTGGTCGAGCTTCTGGTCGCACACGAGCTTCTTGAGGTCGATGATCTTGCGCACCTTGGCGTCGGTGAACTTGCGCTCCGACTCGACGAGCTTCTCGCGCTGCTCGGCCGACGAGTAGAAGAAGCCCGAGTTGACCTCGGTCTTTTCGTACTCGAGGCTGACGTTGAGCGTCAGGATGTGGCAGTTGGTCAGGCGCTTGGGCATGTCCGGGTGGCGCGGACCGTGGTCGAGGACGAGGCCCTTGACGAGGCGCGTGTCCGAGTCCGTCATGTGCTGCATCTTCATGAGCTCGACCATGTGGAGGTCGATCGGCTCGAACGCGTCCTTGGAGTCGTCGCCGGGCGCGGCGTTGTCGCGGCGCTGGCGGATGGCGAGGACGGCGTCGACGACGGCCTGCGACAGCGACTTGGCGAGCTGCTTGTTGACCTTTGTCGCGAGCGACGTGTAGGCGACCTGGACGAGCGTCTCGTGGGCGCCCGACGTGGCGAGCGGGCGCGCGAACGAGTCGAGGAAGGCCGTGAGGGCGTTCTTGGCCACCTCGACGCCGTCGGCGATGACGCGCGGGTGGACGCCCTCGGCCGTGTAGCGCAGCGACTGGTTGAGGAGCTCGCCGACGAGGAGGACGACGCTCGTCGTGCCGTCGCCCGTCATCTCGTCCTGGGCGACGGCGGTGCGGGCGATGAGGGCGGCCGTCGGGTTCTGCGGGCGAACGAGGGGGTGTCAACTCGGGCGGGGCTGAGAGTGGGAGGGAGCAAGGAGGGGGGACGGACCTGGATCTGCATCTCGCTGAGGAGGACCTTGCCGTCCTTTGTCATCTTGAGCTGGCCTGCGCCGTCGACGAGCATCTTGAGGGTGCCGCGAGGTCCGAGGTTGCTCTTGACGACGTTGGCGAGGCCGGTTGCGCCCGTGACCTGTGAGGTGCGGGTGTGTGAGTTAGCGCTGTGCGAGTGTGGGTGTGCAGGCTGGCAGGGCGAGAGTGGGCTCACGTTGAGGGAGAAGGCCTGGTTGCGGCGACTGATCTCGGCGCGCGGGTTGAGGAGCTCGACGGCCGACATGGTCGAGGTAGGGCGGGTGGTGGGAGTAAGTGGAGCGAGGTTGTGACCAGCAGGGAGAGGCTGGAGGTGGTAGAAGGGGAGAAGTCGAGGCGCGGGCTGAGGAGGACGAGGAGGACGAGCGACGAGAGCTGCGACGCGTCTCTCGCCGTCGACACTCCTGCACCCCGAGTGCGAGTGCTGCAGCCCAGGCTACTCTAGCCCGCACCCTGCTCCCGACCGACCATGGCCTCGACCAGTGGCCTCTCGCGCCGTCGCGCCGTCCCCTCTGCCTCGTCCCCGCCAGCATCCGGCACCTCGCACCTCTCGACCTCGCAAGGACACGCCCGCCCAGCCTCGCCCGCCGCGCTCCCGACCGCCCAGCCAGGCCACAAGATCGCTTACGACGAGCGCGATCTCGGTGACGTCGAGGAGGACCGCATCAACCCGCGCCTGACCCTCATGGAGGAGGTCCTCCTCCTCGGCCTCAAGGACAAGCAGGCGAGTCCCGCTCCATCTTTCCCGAGTCCTGTCCAGCTCTCTCTCTCTCGGCCACATCCGGCCAAGGAGCGCGTGTGCCCGCTGGCGGTCGGCACCTCGTCCGGCGCGCCGAGCGGTGGAGCTGCGCACAGCCGGCACCCTCTCCCTGCGCCGAGCCGTCCCATACACCGCCCCTGTTCTCAAGTACCCGCACTGACCTTGCCTTCTCCTACCCTCTCCCCCCTGTCCACCCACCCTCGCCCGGACTTCCTCTTCCCACCTCTCGGATCTCCTTCCTCGTCCCCGCGACACGGCCCGCCGATCATGCACGACACGCGACGCCGACACGCAGGGCTACCTCTCGTTCTGGAACGACAACATCTCGTACACGCTCCGCGGCTGCATCGTCCTCGAGCTCGCGCTGCGGCACCGCATCGCCATGGTGCGCGACCCGGGCCGCCGCCGGTTTCCGCTCGCCGACCGCTATATCGAGGTCGTCGACGACCGCCTCACGGGCGAGGTCCTCCTCGACGAGGCCCTCAAGATGATGAAGGGCTCGGAGCGCATGAGCGTCGGGACCTGGATCGACCTCATGAGCGGTCCGTCTCTCTCTCCCCTCTCCTCGCGTCCCTCGTCCTCAACCTCGACCTCGACACTGACCAGTCAAACTCGACGCACCCCGCAGGCGAGACGTGGAACGTCATGAAGATCGGGTACCAGCTCAAGCAGGTGCGGGAACGGCTCGCCAAGGGCCTCGTCGACAAGGGCGTCCTGCGCACCGAGAAGCGCAACTTTCTCCTGTTCGACATGGCGACGCACCCGGTGTCGGACCCGGCCTTCAAGGACGACGTCCTGCGCCGCACGCTCGGCCTCTTGACGGCGCGCACGGCCGCCGTCCCGACGAGTCACCTGTACGGCGACGCCGTGCGGTACCGCACCGTGCGCGCCGTCGCCATGGTGTGCGCCGCGTTCGCCGCCAACGTGCTCGAGAACGCGCTCGTCCACCTCGGGTACGACCAGCGCGAGAACGCGTTCGCAAAGGCCGACGAGCTCCTCGCCGACTTTAGCCAGTGGCCGTTCGGCGCGTACCGCGAGGGCGGCGACATTGGCGGCGGCGGCGCAGGAGGAGGCGGCGGGGCAGGGGCGGGCGCAGGGGGCCGGCCACGGCCAGCAGGGATCGCGACGGGCGGGAGCGCGGCGAGCGCAGAGAGCGCCAACCTGGCCGAGATTATGCGGCTCGCGCGCCTCGAGATTGTCGGGCAGGGCAGCGGCGACGAGCCGGGCGACGCCGAGCGGCAGACGATGCGCGAGCTGCACCTCGAGGTCGTCGCTGCGTGCATCGAGGTGTTCAGGAGGATGTGCGTCGCCCTCATTTCTCCTCCTCCCTCTCTCTCTCTCTCTCTTTCGGACGACCTCCTGACCTCGTTCTCGCCGCACCTCGCAGGGACTCGCTCCTCTAGACTCGCCTCTCTATCGTCGCCTCGTCGGCGCCGCCTCTTTATACCGCGCAGCGTCGTCGCCGTCCTCCTCCTCGTGCGCCCGGACCTCGCCCTCTCCCTCCTCGGCCTGCGCCCTTCCCTCTCGCCTTTCCCCTCCCCCCTCTTTCGTCACCGTGTCCTGCAGCAGTGTTCAGTAGTTCCCTCCCTGTCCTCCCCCCTCGCCCCTTGCGACGCGGCGGGCCACCTTTTTGCATCCTGGCTCTCGAGGCGAGGCGGGACATTCGAGCGAGGCTGGCCTCGCGCTTCATCTGCGCGCCTGCGCGTGCTTGTCGCTCGCTGCTGAGCCTCCTCGGTCGAGCGGAAAGTCCGTGGGGTCGGCGACCGCACGCTCCTCGCCGGTCCGTCGACACCTCGCTCTCGCTCTTCCTTTCCTCGTCTCTCACACCCTCAGACCCGCCGCACGAGCTGCGCAGCGATGTCGACTAGCGCACGAGCGCACCTGTGGCCGCTCAGCGTCGCCGCACCGCGCCCTGCGCCGCCTGTCCGGTTCCCTCCTCCTCCTCGCGCCGCCGCCCTCGTCGCACCCGGTGCGCCCACCCTCTTCTCTCGAGCCTGGACGCAGCGCATCCCTCTGACTCTCTCGCACGCACACAGTCGTACCAGCCGAGCCGCAGCCCAAGCCCGTGCAGCGCAGGACGTGGCTCAACCCTTTGCCGCGCCAAGTTCCCGAGGTCGACCGCCTGTCGACGCTCCCCCTCGAGCTCGTCTACCTTGTGCGTCCTCTCCTGTTCACTTTTGCAGTCAGCACCGTGTCGGCCTCGAGGATCGCGCACTGACGCTCGCCGCCCACCTCGCAGCTCCTCTCGTTCCTCGACCCTCCCTCCCTCCTCGCCCTCACTTGCAGCTCTCGCTCTTGGGCCAACCTCCTGCGCCGTTCCTCATCGACGCACACCCACGAGCGCACAAAGCGCGTCTGGGCGCAAGCGCGGCTCAACGCGCGCGTGCCGGAGCTCGAGTCGGACCTGGGCGGCGGCGGCGAGGCGCGCGAGGTCGCGCACGAGGTGCTTCTCGCGAGGTTGCTCGGCGGGTGGCCGTGCCAGGTGCGTCGCGTCGAGAACTTTCTCTCTCGGCTCGGCGAGCGGGGAAGGGACTGACGAGGACGGCGAGCGCGCGCAGGTTTGCGGCGGCGAGGCGGCAGGAGACGAGGACGTCGACTTTGACGCCCGGGTTCGGCTGTGCCCGACCTGTCGTACCTTGGCGTGCGTCCCATCGTCACTGATTCCTCTCGTCGAGTCCGTGGACCGTCTCTCGAGCCCGCCACTGACCTCCCGTCCTCCCCCCTCAGGCTCGTCACGACCCAGGAGCTCTCGGACGCCTACTTCCACCTGCACCCTCGCACCCTCGACTGCGTCTTGCGCACCTCGTCGCACGACTTCAACGTCCACCACCCGCAGTTCGAGTACCTGTACTTCGTCCCCGACGCGCTCGCCGTCTCGGCGCACCTGTACTTCCTCGAGGCCGAGGCGGTCGCGCGCGGTGCGAGGGCGGTCGAGATCGTCGACGAGTACGCCAGGAGGAGGATGGCGCTCAGGGTGAAGGTGCGGCGGGACGCGGAGAAGCTCAAGGCGTGGAGGAAGGTGCGGGACGACGACCGCGAGGACGAGATGTGGTACCGCTTGGGCAGCAGGCACGGAAGGTGCGTCACGTCTCTTCCCCCGGCTCTCTGTGCGGTTGGCGACACTGTACTGACGCATACTGCCTGCAGCGTCTTCGAGAAGCTCGACGACCTTGGGTTCGACTCGTGGCAGTGCGTGCACGTGCCTCCTTGAGCAGTCCGCGCCGACCTTGACGGCCCCCTCTCCTACAGCTACGACGGCCTCTTTGACGATTTTTTCGATTACGCGATTCGTGCACTGGCGCCATCGAGCGAGACGTCGAGCCAGGCCGAGGAGCGGGGACGGCTCAACGACGACCTCGACCGGTTTCTCGGGTCCTCGGACCCTCTCACCGACCGAGGTGCGCCGAACTCTCTCTCTCTCTCTCCGCCCGCGCTCGTGATGCTCCCACTGACTCTGCCTGCACATCCACCGCAGAATGGCGCGACTGGAAGCCGCTCGTCGTCGCCTGGGTCTGCGAGCACCGGCGCTACTGCCAGCAGGCTGCCCGTGACTGGGCAAGCGGACGACTCGAACGGCTTCACCCCCTCGTCGAGCGCTGCGTCGGCGTCGACAAGGAGTGGTTCGTCCCGCCCGTCAGATCGTTCCTGCGTCTGCCGAGCCTCGAGGCGATGTGGGCCGACGGCGAGCAGTTTCCCGAATCGTACGAGGTCGATGCAGCACTACCCGCCGCCATCGCCGACGCCGTCCACGCGATGCGCGACGACCGCCTCACCCTCCTCGACCGCATCTCCCGCGCTCTCCTCGCCGAGGGCGACCCTCTCCCTCCCTCCATCCTCCTCGCCCTCTCTTCCTCGCCCTCACCCTTCATCGACCGCGACGCTCGCGTCGGTGTCGAGCCCGGCTACCTCGCCATCTCGCCGGCCGACATCGACGCCGTCCTCGGCCGCGCGACGGCCCTCTTCCGCTGCGGGATCTGCGGCCTCGTCGCGCCCGCCGCGCAGCTCGTCCCGCACGTGCACGCGTCGCAGGGCTCAAGGGCGCCGCCGAGGTGTATCGTCGCGCCGGCGCCGGTGCGCGCGCTCCTGCGCGGCGCGGCCGGGCCGACCACGAGCGTCGGCGAGTGCGAGGCGAGGGGGAGGGTGTGGGAGGTCGAGGGGCGGACGGTCGAGGTGGGCGAGGACGGAGCGAGCATGGAGCGGAGCTGGACGGAGAAGGGCTTGACCTGGGCCGAGGTGGTACGTCCTCGTCTCGCTCGACTCGACGACGAGCCGACTCCCTGACCATTCTCGCCTTCCTTCCCCTCGATCCCTCTCGCCTCGCAGATGCAGCACGGCCTGTCCAACATCTCGACGCTCAACATCGGCCCCGTCCTCGCCGCCCGCTCGTCGACCATCATCACGAGCGCGCGCTCGCGACCGTGGCCGCCGTCGCCCGCGCTCGCGCCGACCGACCCGGCCAAGCAGGTCCGCATCCTCGGCAGCTTCGACCTCGGCTACGCGACGGGCAACACGTTCAGGTGTGCGTGAAAGGAGCAGGAGGCGGGTCGTAGCTTGCCGACGGCGCTCGAGGAGGGCGAGAGGAAATGGAACTTGAGGAGCGACTCGCTCTTTTGCCTCCCGATACAGGCTGTTCTTCTCGCGCGCTTTCGACCAGATTGAGAGAGCTTGTCGTGAAGCCTTGCGCGAGCACGGGAGGAGAGAGCGCGCTTTGGACGAGTCGACCGCGTCGCGCCGCAGCAGCGACTTCAAGGAGGAGACTCGCGCTTCCTCCGTCGTCGCTTCGAGCTACCGCCGCTCGACGTCTGCACCCGACACAGACTTGTCCGGCACCGCTGCTGCACCCGCGAGCGACCGCCCCCGAGCCGCCAGACGACGCCGACGACTTCATCACGTCGAGGAACTCGGACCGGTTCGTCCTCCAGGACCAACCAGCGCGAGCGCGTGTCGTACAGCGCAGGCGTCTACCTGGACTTCTGGCACTCTATCTAGCCCGCGGCGTCCACCCTCCTCGCCCTCGCCCGACTCCTCGCCGCCCCTCCCTCTTCATCTCGCGAGTGCGCCCTCTCGCCCGCTTCTTCATCAGTCGGCCTACCGAGCCTTTTATCCTGTCGAAATCATCACACGACACGTCTCTACACGGTCGAAGCGGGTCTGCCAGATGTCCTCGTGTCCTCGTCCTCATCTCGAACCAGGTGCGCTCAACTCCCTCTCTCTCTCTGGCCCCTCCCACGATTACTGTAAGCTGACACCTCGGTCCACACAGACGCAGGAGAGTCGACTCTTCAGCATGGTCGGCTCCTGCAGAACGTGCCTCAAGTGCAGCCGTCGGTCAACCGCTTCTCGATGCTCCCCCTCGAGCTCAACTTCCTCGTGCGTCCGTGTCTGCCCTCCCACCCTGCACGAGCAAATCTCACTGACATCTCGCCTCGCACCCTCCACCCCTCGCCGCCGCAGATCCTGTCATACCTCGACCCGCCGTCGCTCCTGTCGATGAGCTGCACCTCGCGAGCCTGGGCGCGCATGCTCCGCCGCAAGGGCGACAAGAACGCGCTGCGCCTGTGGGTCCAGTCGAGGATCAACGTCGAGATGCCCGAGCTCGAGTCGGACTTGCGCGCCGGCGTCAGCATCGACCAGGAGGTCCGCCTCGCCAAACTCATCGACCGCGAGATTTGCCAGGTGCGCCAGAGACCCTTTCCCTCCTCTCCTATCGACACCTATCGACAAAGCGAGCCGACTCTGACGATTCACGAGTGCGCAGGAGTGCGGCGATAGAGCCGACGAGCTGTGGGACGTCGACTTTGACGTGCGCGTCCGGCTCTGCGTCGAGTGCTGGCCCAGGCTGTACGTCCTCTCGCTCTCGCCGGTTCTCCTCGTCCGTCGAGTATCTCTGACCCTGTTGCACCGCCTCGCCACTCTCGCGCAGGGTGAGGTCCAAGAAGCGCATCCTCGAAGACCTGCCCGACCTGCATCCTCGCGCGCTCGACTGCTCCCCGTACACGACCGACCTAGGTTGGCCCGACGCTGTGGACGAGGACGACTACAAGTACTTTGTCCCAGACGTCCTCGAGATGTCGAAGGCCCTGCATGAGCTCCAGTGCTTCGGCCCACTCCGCGCGTCGGGCTCGAGCGCGATGGTCGAGTACTACTATTTGGACCGCAAACTGTTCTCGAGCCAGGCCCATCGAGATGGCGTCAAGCTCGCGTCCTGGTGGCGTGGCGAGAAGGCGGACCGAGAACTCGAAATCGCCGACGAGGAGGAGTACGAGGCCCTCGAGCGCCGGGGCTCGATACGGCGGCAGCACGCGTGCGTCCCTCTCTCTCTCTCTCCCTCCATGTCTTCGGCTGCACGACGGACTGATCTCCGGCGAGTCGCACCACAGCATCTTTCACGAGCTCGAAAAGCTCGGCTGCCCCGAACCCGAGTGCGTCCCAACTTTCGCCCGCGTCTCGCCTCCCCACCTTTAACCTGACAACGCTTGTCCGCAGGATCAACGGCTTCTTCGAGTCGTACGTTTTCCGATATCACGCCTTCGCGCCGTCGCTGTCGTCGGGCCGGAGCGAGGGCAGCACTGCCCGCAACGAGCGCGGCGAGTACAACGTCGAGATCGACCGCTTCTGCGAGGACACCGAGCCGCTCGCCGACTATGGTGAGCTCCCTCTTTCCTGCCTCCCTTTGTCAAGCACGGACAGCGACTGACGCTGCCCGTTTGACAGAATGGTACGAGTACCAGGTCCGCGTCCGGCGTTGGGTGGTCGAGCGCCGCAAGTACTACGCCGACGCCGAGGCGCGCGCGCACCGCGAGGCGCAGCAGCAGGTCGTCAGCCCGCTCCACGACCTCGTCGCTCGCTGCCTCGGCCCCGAGGCGGGACCGCTCCTGTGCCCGCTCGACGTCTTCCTCAAGTTCCCCGCCGTCCGCTCGCTGTGGGCGCCAGCCGGCGCCGACGTTCGGCATCACCACCTCGTCGCCGTCCTGCCGCACGCCATCCTGCGCGCCGTCGAGGTCATGCGCGAGGACCGCCTGATCTTGTTCAACCGCGTCGCTCGGACCCTCCTCGCCGAGGGCGACCCTCTCCCCTCCTCGGTCCAGCACGCCCTCTCGACCGCGCCCTCGCCTTTCATCGACTACGACCCTCGCCACGGTATCGAGCCCGCGTACCGCGCCATCCCTCCCGCCGACCTCGACCTCGTCCTCAACCGCGCGACCGCCCTGTTCCGCTGCGGCCGGTGCGGCCTCGTCGCGTACATCGGCCGCCTCCTCAAGCACCTGTACGCCGCTACGACGAATCGTGCTGCGTCGTGGTGCCACGTCGCGCCTGCCGAGGCGAGGGCGCTCGTGCGCGGCGCCGCCGGCGCGTCGACGAGCTTCGCCGACTGCGATGCCGTCGGGCCGCGGTGGCAGGTCTCGGGCAGCGACGCAGATGGCGTGTGGGCGGTGAGGGCGCTCGAGTGGGGCGACGTGGTGCGTCCCGATCTCTCTCCTCCTCCTGGACCTCCTCGAGGAGCCGGCGCACGTGGCTCGCAACTGACACGCTCTTTCTTCCCTCCCTCGCTCTCTCCCCCTCCCACGCCCCTCGTACCGCCCCTTCTCTCCTCGTCTCTCGTCCGCCGCAGATCCACACCAAGCTCGACGGCGTCGAGGGGCTCGTGCTCGGCGCCGAGCAGCCGCACCCGACTGGCCACGGTCGCGGGTCGGACAAGGTGCTCGGCATGCTCCTCGTGGGCCAGATCGCGCCCGTGTTCGCCGGGTGGGCGTTTGTCGGGGCGCTGGTCGGGCGGCGTAGAGAGAGTACGAGGGAGCGGCGGAGCGAGAGGGCGAGGGCGCGAGGACTTATGGAGCTCGTCGGGCGCAGCGAGCGAGCAATGGACTTTCTTCTCGCACATCTCCTCTGAGAGCGACGTCTGCTTGGATCTTCTACGGACAGACAGCGTCGGACAGCGAGCCAGCCACGAGAGGTCGACGATGCGGGCCTCGGCGACTTGAGAAGGCCGTCTGCGCAACTCGCGCTTTGACCTCTCCCTCAGCGCGCCGGCTCACTTGTACAGCCTCCTCCTCGCTCGTTCCTGCCACCCGTGCTGCGAAAGCATGTCGACGCAGAGAGGCTGAGCGCATGCACCACGGGCGAGCCTCGACGCAATTCAACTTGTCGAGCTATTTCAGGCGCGACTAGCGGCAGCTATTCGTGGTTCGGCGGTGCAAGCGGGCGAGTGCTGATGCTGCAGCTCACACAGGCCGCACATGAGCGCGCGAGCGGAGGCTGCTGCGCACTCACGCACGGCGAACAACGGACCGCCGAGGTGGGGCAGTCGTTCCTTCTCTCTCTCTCTCCTTCACCTCTCGCCCTCACTGCACAGCCCTTCTTCAGCTTTACCAGCACCTCTCACGACAAGCATCATCATGTGTGCGTCCCTGTCCGCTCTTTGAATGTCGAGACGCGCCCTGACGACCCCCCTCTTCGCAGTCGACTTCTTCGGCAACGACTCGGACCAGGCCCAGGCCGCCCAGGCCGTCCAGAACCAGCACAAGTCGTCGGTGCGTCCCCCTCGTTCCTGTGCCCCCTCGTCCGGCGACGTCGCGCGAGCTGACTCGGACCTTCCGCCCCCCTCCCCTTCGCCCAACGCAGCTCACGCACGAGTTGATCGCGGGCGCCGCGGCGTTCGAGGCCCAGCGCGCGTACGCTCGTCACTGCGAGCAGAACGGCAAGCCCGAGAGCCACCAGAAGGTAAACCGACGAGCTCCGCCGTCTCTTCCAAGAGCGCGAGGTTGACACGTTCCGCATGTCGTGCAGGCCCGCGAGCTGTTTGCCGCCTTTGCCGCCGCCGAGGCCGACAAGCTCATCGAGACCAAGGGTGCGTCCTACACTTCCCTCGCACGAGTCGAGCGAGAGCAGCGCGAGAGCAGCCCTGACCCTCTCGTTCCTGCTTCCCTTCCCCTCGCCAACTCGTCCGCCTCCTCCTCCTGCAGGCCTCGACTTCATGGGTGCGTCCTACACGCTCTCTTGGCGTCTCTCGACGGCGACGTACTGACCCTCTTGCCCGTCCATCCTTCTCCGTCCCCCTCCCTCGCGCGCGCACGTTCCTCCTCCCTCTTCCTCCTCCCACCTCCTCTCCCTCTCTCCCGCTCCCGCTCTCACAGACCGCGAGGAAGTCAAGCGCCAGGCGCGCCAGCACGCCGACGCCCTGCAGCCCGACTCGTACTGATCGCGCCATCGTGTCAAGTCCCGAGTCGAGCGGCGCAGGACGCCGCTCGGGCCCTGGGGACGAGTAGGCGAGACGAGCGAGGAGCGAGCGAGCGAGCGAGGAGAAATGCAGTGCTTTGGTTCGTGTGCGCGGCGTGCGAGGATAGAGAGGGGCAGAGCTGCAGAGAGAGAGAGAGAGAGAGAGAGGAAAGTCGACGAGCTCGAGGGCGACGAGCCGGACGAGCCTGCTCCGACGACAGCGACGACGAGGCGACGCTCGTAGCTAGTGCTGCCCTTGACACGGGCCGATGCTGACACCGCCGAGCGCCGACGAGCCCAAGTCGGACAAAGAAAGGGCTCGAGCGTTCTCTCTCTCTCCCCTCTCGGCTGGCTTTTCCCCTTATCTCTCTCTCTCGCGCACGCTCCCGGCCCGAACACGACCCGAGGTTCAACAGCGACTGTGTTTGGTTCGAAGATTGCGAGTGTGTGACAAGGAGAAACTGAAAGAGAGTCGGGTCGGGCGTTGTGGGGATTTGTGGAGAGAATCGAGGGGGGAGGATACAGGGCAAGGTGGGAGAGGAGCAAGGGGAGGAGGAGGGAGGGGTTGGGATAGGGCGCAGGTGCGCGAGGATGGAGCAAGGGAGGGAGGGGGGAAGCGAGGGCGCTTAGGCCGACTTGGCGAAGCCGACGGCCTGTTTTGCGCGAGGGGGCAAGGTCAGGGACAGCGACGACGACGATGACGAGAGAGAGAGAGACGCACGCTGCGGCCGTAGTCGTAGACGGTGTAGACTGCGAGAGGGACGAGAGGCGGAAAGGCGAGCGAGTCAGTGAGGCTCGTGCGCTAAACGACGGCGACGAGAAGGGGAGGGGCCGACGCACACTTGCGCAGGAAGACGTCGCCGATGCTGCGTGCGTGCTCGAGGCGTCAGTGAAGGTGTCCAGAAGGGAAGAGAAGGAGAGGGAGGAGAGGAGGGAGGGCGACGCACATCCAGATGGGGCCGAGCGGCGCCGGGATGTCGAGGCCCTGGAACGCCGAGATGCAAGTGCCCTGCGCCTCGCTGTGTGTCGGTGGTACAGCAGGGTCAGTTCACGGTCAAGAGACGACGGGAGAGCCCGAGAGACAGGAGAGGGGCGCACAGAATGTAGTCCTTCGCGTCGAGCTTGTACGGAATTCCGCCAAAGTAGAGCGTGAGCGCGGGGAGGCTCGGCACGGTCGAGCACTCGACGGTGTAGGCGCCGTTCCAGCCCTTCTTGGCGCCTGCAGGACGGCGAGAGGAGAAAAGGCCAGAGTCAGTCCACGGACCTTCCCAAGTCGCTTTCTCCCGCTCCTCGACGCCATGATAGAGGGGACGCACCAATGTCGCGGTTGATGATCTCGGCAATGTCGGTCGGGAGCGCAATGAGGCTCGTGCCCGTGTCGATGGCGGCGCCCGTGTTGTCGAGCTCGAGCACCTCGTCGCCAAACTTGACCTTCTCGAGCTCGACCTCCCAGTAGCCCTTGCGGCGCACGGGCACGTAGTCGATCTTGCCCGTGTAGTGACGCGCGTCGAGGCCGCCAAACGTCGCCTCGCCCTGCTCCGGGTCCGAGCCCATCCAGAAGGCAAAGACGGGCTCGTCGAGGAGGCCCTGGGCGAGCATGTTGTAGAACGGCGGGACGACGTGCTGGACCGAGATGGTGTCGTACCCGAGGCCGAGGATGCCGTCAAACTTGCCGAACGCAAACGTGAGGCCCGGCTCGACGGTCGACTCTGCAAAGTCCTGCTTCTTGATCTCGAGGTCGCCGATCGTCATGACGTCGTTCGAGATGACGCCCTCGAGCGAGCCCGTGCCGTACTGGATCTTGAACTCGGTGCCGTTGGCCTTGTAGGTCGACGAGGCGGTCGCGTCGTACTTGCTGTGCAGGAAGCACGCGATCGACGAGCAGCGCGTCGACGGGACCCACAGGTTGGCCGAGCCTGTGTGCACACACTGTGTCAGTGCCCTAGATCGAGTCTCTCGAGAGAGAGGGGGGACGCACCGGTGTCGAGGATGACCTTGAACGACTGGGGCGGGGTGCCGAGCGTGATCTCGGCGACTGCGCGCGGCGACGACAGAGTCAGTCACCTTGCCGTCGATGGAAAGAGAGAGAGAGAGAGCTCGACGCACAGTACTGGGCGTTGAGGTAGTCTGCGAGAGGGAGGGAGAGATGGCGAGTCAGTGGCGGTGCGGCGGACCGAGTGGGGGCAAGGAGGGCGACGCAACTGGTGAGGGGCACGCCGTGGCCGCCCTTTGCGAGCTGGTCGTTGAACTGGTCCTGCTCGAGCATGGTGTGGAACTCGTCGTCGCGGCTGGGCGGGTACGTGCCCGCCTTGCGCGACGAGAACGGGCGCTGCGAGTTGCCGAACCCGAGGCGCGCGGCGTACTTGTCGGCGAGGTGGGCCGTCTGGGCCGACAGGTCGGACGAGGCAGCTTCGAGGCGGTGGAGCTTCATGCTGCGTGGGCCGAGAGGGGGAGGGGGCCGCGCCATCGTGAGGGAGGTCGTCAGCCCCGATGCGAGCGATTGAGAGAGAGAGAGAGAGGGGGGGCGCACCGGTGCATGTTGGCCTCGACGCCTTGCGAGGCGGCGAGGAGGGCGAGTGCGGCGGTGGCGTAGAGCATCGTCGCGGGTGGTGGTGGGTGGAGGTGAGAGAGCGAGGAGGAGGTCGACCTCCAGGTCGGGGGCGCGCCCCGCCGAGCGTCCGAGAGGGGAAGCTGCTCGCGGCTCGCCTTTTCGTCGCAACTCTGTACTCGAGGTTGCACCACGCTGCTCTACACGCCACCAGCCTCGAGCGCCCTCACCAACCCACGCCACGCATCCCCGCTCCAAGGCAGAGCACGAGGATCACTCCTCCTCCTCCTCGCCTCCCTCGCTCGTCCTCCTCGAGCTCGCCCTCTCCTCTCCGCCCACCAGCCCCACCCCGCACCGGCAGCCTCTCCGTCCCAGCTCTCCACCTCCCCACGCCCCCCTCGAGCGCCTCGAGCGCGCCCGCCCTCGCGACGCCGCCCGGCCCAACCGCACTTGCACCCGCACCCGCACCCGCACCGGCGCCCGAGACGAGGCTCGCAAAGAGCGGGTCGACGAGCGGCGCCGACGAGGTGCGCGACACGCGCAGGTGCCGGATCGAGGTGCGCAGCGCGAGCTGGATGTCCTGCGAGTGCGGTGCCGCCGGGAGGGAGGGTCAGTCGCGGCGGTGAGAGACGGAGAGGGAGAGGGCGAGGACGCACGTTGAGCGTCGAGTAGTAGCCCTCGGCGTACTTTGCAAAGTCGGCGAGCTTGGCGTCGTCGCCGTCGCCCTTGGGCTGTTTCGCGCTCTGGCCGCCCTCGTCGCCCTCGTCCTCGGCTTCGTCCGTGGCCAGCTCGCGCGAGGTAAAAGTCGAGAGTGGGTCTGGGTGGAGCGCGGCGAGGGTGCAGCCGGCAAAGTGGAGCAGTGCGGCGATGTTCTGCGGGTGCGGGTCGAGGTGAGCCAACTCGACGGGGGCAGGAGAAAGGGAGAGAGGGGGTTGGAGGGCGCACCTCTTCGACCTCGTTGAGCTCTTGGATGCGCTTGCCTGCGCGGGTCGACTGCCATGGTTCGGGTTGTGGGTCGTCGTCCATGGCGGCGAGAGGCGAGGTGGGGGAGACGACGAGGAGGAGGGAGGGAACACGGCTCTGGGGGGTTGCGGCGGTGGGTTGAGGATGGCGCTGTACGGTGTGCGAGTAAGACTGGGGCGGTCCCGGCTAGCCTGAGCGAGAGCGAGTGGGTGCAAAGACGCCATGACCGACGTTGGCTCGTCTCGCCCGCTCGATCCACCGCTCGACTCGCTCTCGACCGTCCAGCGAGTCCGAGCACCCTCACAAGGGCACCGCAGCAGCTCTCTCGGGTCCCTCGAGCTTTGCCACCAAGCGCACGCACGCCGTTGTCGAGCCCTCGAGCCCAACTCGCGTCGAGCTCTCGTTCGCCGCCGTCGGCTCACCCGAGGCCAAGGGGGTCGACAAGCAGTGCAGCACGACACGCGCAGGGTGAGCCTGCACAGTGCCTCACCAGTTCAGCCAAGCCCCATGTCCTGACGGTCGCTCTTCTCCCCCTCCCTCGTCCTCGTCGCCTCGTCGACCCTCGGCTCCACCTCGACGCCGTGCCGCCCCAAGGCCACCAGCAGCACCACCTCGACGACGGACATGAGCTCGCACCGCGGCCACCACGGCCGGTACCCGGACGACCGCCCCGACCCGCGCTACCCTCCACTTCCTCCTCACGGTCGCGCTCCCCTCCCTCCTCCCGCTCATCACGCCCCAGCCCGCACCGACTACTACGCCCCACCGCCACACGCTCAACGCGCGCCGTACCCGCCCACGCAGGGCTACCCGCCGCCCCACCACGCCCACCACCACGCCCGCTACTCGAGCGCGCCGTACCCACCCAGCACGGGCTACCCTCCTCCCCCTTCCTCCTCGTCCTCCAACGCCAACGCCAACGGCACACCATCCTCCTCGTCCCGCTACCGCGACCCCGCCGTCGACCCTGCACCGCCCTCGGGCCCACGCAGCACCACCACGACGGCGTACGACCACCGCGACCGCGACCGCGTGCCACCGCCGCGCGCCCCGCTCCCCGTCGACGACCGCCCCTCGCCGCGCGACGCAGGCTACGGCCCGCCGCCGCACCACGCCCACGCCTCGGGGTGGGACCGCCGACCGCCGCCGCCGCCGCCGTCGCACCAGCACCCGCACCCGCACCCGCACCAGGCTGGCAACGGCTGGGGCTACCCGCCGCCTGTCGCTGCGCCCGCGCCGGCGGGCTCGGCGGGGTACGACGGCCGGGTCGGCGCCGCGTTCGGCGCAACGGCGAGGGCGCCGTACGGGCCCGGGCCCGGGCACGCGCACACGCGCGACGCAGGGTACCCGCCGTCGGTGGGCTACCCGCCGCCGCCGTCGGGCCCGCAGCAGCACCACCACCAGCCGCAGCAGCAGCAGCAGCAGGCGGCGAGGGCCTACCCGGCGCCGTCGGGCTCGGGCGCCAGCGCGAGCAAGAACCGGTACGACGGTCCGAGCGCGGGCGGCGGCGCACCGAGGAGGACCCGCTCGCCGTCCCCGGCGCGCTCGTCGCGCTCGTCCCGCACCGGCGGCGCCCCTGTCGGACCGGCCTCGCGCGGCCGGCCACGCGAGCGCGAGCGCGAGGTCGTGTCGCGCTCGCCGCTGTCGCGATCTCGGTCGCGGTCGCGCTCTCGGTCCAGGTCGCGCTCGCGGTCGAGGTCGAGGTCGAGGTCAAGGTCGAGGTCGCGCACCCCGCCCGCACCGCGCCGCCGGCCCAAGCGCCGCGGCTCGTCGTGCTCGAGCGAGGGCATGTCGCGCTCGCCGCCGGCGGCGGCGGCTGCTGCTCGTCCTCGAGCGGCGGGCTCGACGTCGAGATCGAGGGCTGGCGGGAGGGGGAGAAGCCGGAGCCGGAGCGGGAGCAGGGAGCGGGAGCGCGGCGGCGCCGCAGGAGGAACAGGAGGCGGAGCAGGAGGAGCGAGGTCCAAGCGGCTGCGCAGCCCCGAGCCGGGTCCCGCACGCGTGCCTGACGACGGCAAGAAGCCCAAGGTGTCGTCGTCGGCGGCGCTCGCGGGGAGCGCGGCCGTCGCGGCGGCGTACACGCAGCGCGCGGCGCCGACCCAGCCCTCGTCGTACTCGACGGCTGCTGCGGGCGCGCGCAACGGCGCAGGCCCGTCGTCGTCGACCGCGACCACGACCTCGACGTCGGCGTACTATGGCGCGCACGCCCCGCCGCCGGTCCCGACCGGCCCTCGAGCCCTCCAGCAGCAGTCGCAGCAGTCGCAGCCCGGCTCGCGCCCGCCCTCTGCGCCGCTCGCCGTCCACCCGCGCACGTATGGCGGCGCGCCCCCGCAGCAGCAACAGCAGCGCCCGCACCCGAACGCGCTCCCCGTCGGCGCAAACGTCAAGGTGCAGATTGCGCCGCCGACGGGGCCCAAGGCGGCCCGGGCTGGGTTCGTGCCCATCACGGCGCAGGCCCAGCAGCAGCAGCAGCAGCAGCAGCAGCAGCAGCAGCAGCAGCAGCAGGCGCACGCGCGAGCTCAGCACGCCTCGCCGCCGCTCGGGCCGTCGGCCTCGTCGTCGTCCTCGGCCGCCGTCGGCAGCGCGCGCCCCGCCCCGCCCGGCACCAGCAGCGCGAGCAACGGCGGCGGCGGCGACGTGCGCCGGTTCTTCCAGAGCGCGGCCGACGAGGAGCAGGAGGAGGAGGAGCAGCGTCGGCAGCGCGAGGCGCTCGCGGACAAGAAGAAGCGCGAGCGCGAGCGCGACGAGGCCGACCGCGACCGTCTCACTGAGCGACGCAGGCGCGACGAGGTCGACGAGCGGGAGCGCGAGAGGCGGAGGAGGGAGGACGAGCGCGAGCGGGACTTGGGGAGGGACCGGCCGAGGGACAGGGAGAGGGAGCGCGAGCGAGGGTGGAGGGACCGCGACTTTACGGCCGTCGTCGGCGAGCGGCGCGACCACGGTCGTGAGCGCGACAACGACCGCGACCGCGACCGGGCGCGCGAGTACGGCCGCGACCGCGACCGCGACCGCCGCCGCAGCTCGCGCGAGCGCTCGCGCCCTCACGACGTCGATCGCGCCCCGGGCCGCACGCGCAGCCCTCGCAGCCGCAGCCGCAGCCCTCGCAGTCGGGACCGCAGCGTCCCGGCCCGCGGCATGGACGTCGACCCGCCGCTGCACCGCTCGTCGTCGTCGTCGGCGCGCGGCGGGTGGGCCGTGCGCGATGGCGGCGACGTCCCGCCGCCTCGGTCGAGCCGGTCCGGGCTCACCGACGTCGATGCGGCACCTGTGCGTGCGCCCGCAGCGGCACCGGCGTCGTACGAGCGCCCGGCGGGCAGCATGCGCCCGCCGCAGGTCCCGCCCTCGTCTGCGCCCATCACGTCGGCCAACCTCGTCGCTCCCGTGCACGAGCGGCGCTGGGGCGTTGCGCCTGCTCCGCTCGCTGTCGGTCCCGACGCTGCGGCGTCGTCGTCGCCTGCTCGCGCCCCGGTCGAGGACGCCGACGGCTCGGCGGCGGCGCACGGGCCCGGGTCCGCCGCGCCGAGCGTCCCGCCGTCGCCCAAGGCGCAGCCTCGCTCGCGCGACGAGCCGGCGACGCCTCGAGGCGACGAGCGCGTCCTCGCCGCCGAGGCGCCGTCTGCGCCGCCGACGCCTGCACCCGACTCGACCTCTGCCGGCGCGCCCGCCGTGCCCGCCGTGCCCGCCGCGCCGACCGAGCTGTACGAGCGGCTCGTCCAAGTCGGCGAGGGCACGTACGGCAAGGTGTACAAGGCGCGCAACGTCGAGACGGGCGGGCTCGTCGCGCTCAAGCGCATCCGCATGGAGGCCGAGAAGGACGGGTTCCCCGTCACGGCCGTGCGCGAGATCAAGCTCTTGCAGAGCCTGCGGCACCCGAACGTCGTGTCGCTGTTCGAGATGCTCGTGTCCAAAGGTGCGTCGCCGTCGTCCTCTTGGTCCTCGTCCTTTTCCTCGAACAAGGTCCTCACACTTCTTCCCCTTTCGCCCGCCGACAGGTCACGTCTACATGGTGTTCGACTACCTCGACCACGACCTGACGGGCGTGCTGCACCACCCGACGATCGCGTTCTCGCCGGCGCACCTCAAGTCGCTCATGAAGCAGTTCCTCGAAGGGCTCGGCTTCATCCACCGCCGCGGCGTCCTCCACCGCGACCTCAAAGGGTCCAACATCCTCCTGAGCCGCAACGGCGTCCTCAAGATTGCCGACTTTGGCCTCGCGCGCTTCTACCAGCGAGGGCGCAAGGCCGACTACACGAACCGCGTCATCACGCAGTGGTACAAGCCGCCCGAGCTCCTGTTCGGCGCGACCGTGTACGACGAGCGCGTCGACATGTGGAGCGCAGGGTGCGTCCCGATCGTCCGCCTCTCGAAACCCGAAAGCCCGTCAACTGACTCGCTCGTCCGTCCTCGTCCGCAGCTGCATCTTCCTCGAGCTCTTCCTGCGTCGCCCCGTCTTCCCCGGCCAGGACGAGATCCACCAGCTCGACGTCATCTTCAAGCTGACGGGCACGCCGAGCGTCGAGACGTGGCCCGACTTGCACGACCTGCCGTGGTACGAGCTCGTCAAGCCCAAGGACGCCGTCGAGTCGCAGCTGCGCCCGACTTTCTCCAAGTGCGTCGCACTCGTTCCACTCCTCCCTTCTCGACGATCCGGACTGACCCGTCGTCGAACCTGGCTCCCTCGTCGCAGGTACCTGTCTCCGGCCGGCCTCGACCTCGCCGACGCCCTGCTCGCGCTCAACCCGGCCATGCGCCCGACCGCCGACGAGGCGCTCCGCATGGCCTACTTTACGACCGAGGAGCCCAAGCCCGAGATGCCCACCATGTGCGTCGAATCGCTCTCTCTCTTTCTCTCTCTCCCTCGAAGAGCGCCTCGAACCGGCCAAGCGGACTGACTTTGCCGCCTTTCGCCCGCCAAACAGGCTCGCCGACGTCAAGGGAGAGTGGCACGAGTACGAGTCGAAGCGTGCCCGCAAGCGCCAGCGAGAAGAGAACCTCGCCGACAGTGCCGGCCCGACTGCCTGAGCGGCCTCACTCATCCCCTCCCTTCCCCTCTCCTCCCTCTCGCGCCCTCTCCCTCTTCCATTATCGCCTGTCCTCGCACTCGCACTGCATCCTCTGTCCTGCCGCGACGTCGTCGTCCATAGTACCCTCACGAGCCCCCTCGTTTCAATGCATCTGCAGCCGCATGTTTTCCCAGCTCGCGCCGGCTCGTCGCCGCCTTGAGAGCGGCTCGCGTCTTTCTCTCTTTCTCTCTTGCCGTGAGCGATTCTCGTGGCAAGGAAGAGAGCAACCCGCAGAACAAGAGAGGCAAAGAAGGACGAGCGAGTGGATTGCAAGCCGAGATGCGCTCAGGCCCCGTCGTCGTCGAGGTCCATCTCCTCGTCGTCGCTCGACGTGATGAACTCGGCCGTCTTGATCAGCCGCAAGTTGACGAGTCCGCCCGGCGTGCCCGACCTGCCCGAGCCCATCGACCTCGCCGAGCCCTCGTCGTCGCTGCCCTCCCCCTCGTCCTCCTCGCCCGACCCTGCGCCCGATCTCGAGCCCGAGCCCGCACCCTCGTCCTCGTCCTCGCTCTCGCCGTACCCAGCCCCACCGAGCCCCTGCTGCCCGTCGGCGTACTCGAACATGTATGGGTCGACGCCCGGCGCCTGCGCCGCGAGCTTCCCCGCGCGCTCGAGCGCGCCGACCTCGCCCTCGTCAACGGAAACCGTGCCCTTGCGCACCCGCCTGCGCTGCCGGTCCCCCTTCCCTGCCGCGTCGCCCTCGCTCTCGTCCTCGCCCCCCTCGCCCTCACGCTCCAGCTTGCCCAGCCTGCGCGCGCCCGCGCTCGCACCCCTCAGTCCCTTCTCGAGCGCCCACTCGACCTGCTCGACGAAAGGCACCAAGCTCGCGACGCCGCGCGTGTCGTCGCGCGGTGCGGCGCCGGCGAGCGCCGGGTGGAGCGCGAGCGGCGCGGGCGTGAGGTGGTGCGCGACGAGGGTGAGGAGGCGGTGCAGCGCGGTGGGGAGCGCCGTGGCGGGCGAGGTCGAGAGCGCGAGGGTGTGGGTGTGGTCGTAGGAGGGGAGGACGGAGGGGAGGTGGGAGGGAGGCGCGCGTGGAGGGGATGCGGCGCGAGCTGGCTCCGAGGGAGCTGCGGCCGCGAGAGAGGGCGACGGCGGTGGCGGCGAGGAGCGGTCGTCGGCGACTCGTGCCCGTCGGTCGGCCGCAGGAGGGGAAGTCGGCGGTGCCGGCGTGCTCGACGGCGGGAACAGCGGCTCGAACCCGTTGGCGCGTGCGGCCGGCCGAGCAGCGGCGCCGTTCGGGGCGTCGTGCCGCGACGAGGGCGGCGGTGGACGGGCGCGAGGGCCGTACAGCGGCTCGAGGATGCGGTCGACCTTGTCGAGGTACGCCTCGGGGCCGTACTGCGGTCGGGGCGGGTCGTAGACCTCGGGAGCCGGGAAGAAGCGCGCGACGTCGGCGAACCCTGCGTGTCGCCGTCGAGGAAAAGGCGAGTCAGTAATGGCTGCAGAGAGTCCGAATGAACGAGAGAGAGAGGCAGGACGCACGAGAGGGAACTTTCTCGTCGCTCAGGATGTGCTGCTCAAACCACTCGAGGTACGCGTCCATCTCGTCGCCGCTCAAGTCGCACACGTCGCCTCTGCGCACAAGGAGCAGGCCGCCCATCGTCAGTACTCTCGCCCTCGATGGTCGAGGAAGAGAAAGAGGCGAGAGGGGCGCGAGCGCCGACGCACCTCCACAGGGCCGAGAGGTCGCCCGGCGGGTCGAGCGCCGCGAGCGCCTCGGCAGCTGCGAGCCAGGTGTCGCGCGAGGGCAGCAGGTCGTCGGGCCGACTTGATCGAGAGCTGCGGTGCAGGGCGAGGCGTCAGGACGTGCGCGTAGAGAGGGAGAGAGACTGGGGAATCGTCGAGACGCACCTCGTTCCGCCCTCCTCCTCGTCCCGCGCCTCCTCCCCGCTCTCCTCCTCCCCATCGAGGCGCCACAGCAGCCTCGCGACGACCACCACCAAGCTCGCGACCTTGACCTCGGGCAGCGCCCCCCTCCAGTCCATGGCGCCCTTGAGCCGCTTGCCCATGCGGGGCCACTCACCCTCGCGCCGCCCGGTCCCGTCGCCGCCGTCGCGGCGCGCGCGCCAGAAGGACGGCGCGGGCGTGTGTGACGAGGTCGCGAGGTGGAACGAGGCTGGGCCGGGGAGGTGCGAGAGGAGGTGCGTCGTGAGGAGGGGAACGAGCGCTGCGGGCGGCGAGGTCGGGCGTTAATGTGGGCTCTGGAGCGCGCGAGGGGAGGCAGGAGAGGGGAGATGTGGCAGACGGTGGCGCGAGGGCGCAGAGGGAGAGAAGAGAGAGAGAGAGCGAGACAGAGAGAGGAGAACGTACGCGGCATCGCGAGCAAGTCGGCCACGCGCCCGACGACGAGCGGCACGTTGGCCTCGGGGAAGTGGACGCCCCAGTCGTCGCGAAAGAGGACGACCAGGCGCTGGAGCCACACCTCGGCCGAGTCGTCACGCTGGCGCTCGAGCGACGCCGTGTGCGAGTACAGGTGCGGGACGGCCTGGGCGCGTTGACGAGGGCCCGGTTCAAGTGCAGCGAGGAGAGCGAGAAGAGGAGAGGTACGGAAGGGGGGAGGCGTCAGTCGAGGGCGAAGAGGAAGACAGGGAAGAGAGAGGGGGGGCGCACCTTGGGCGAGAGAGCGTCTCGAGTCGAGCCGTCGAGGTGCTGCTGCATGTCGCGCGGCAAGTGCGCCGCCGCATCGAGGTACAGGATCTGGTACGACTCGGCGAGCCTGCCGAGTGCGAGAGGGAGCGTCAGTCGCTCATCCTCGTCTCGAGAGCGGGAAAGGGGAGGAGAAGAGGAAGGAGGAACGAGGGCAACGCACCGGAACACGTCCGACAGGAAGATGGGCAGGCGCAGCGTGACGCACGCGAGGTAGACGATGAGGAGCGTGAACTCAAGACGGGGCGCGTCGCGCGGGTCGTCGACGACGCGCGCGCGTGCGCGCTCGCGCTGAGCCGACGCCGCCGCCGTGCGGCGCGGCGGCGTGAACGGGTTGAACGGCGACGGGCCGCCGTCGCCTTCGCCATCGTGCTGTGGCGTGAGGGGCGGGATGGCGGGCGACGGTGGGCCCGAGAGCGGGCCGCGCGAGGCTGCGCGCGGCCGCTCGTCGTCGGCTTGGTCGCCGAGCGACTCGGTGTCCGAGCCCGAGCCACCGCTGCTGCTCCCGGACGACGACGACGAGCGCGCCGACTCGTCCGTCTCGCTCTGGCGCTCGACGTCTGCTTCTCCCCCCGCGCTGTCCTCGTCGTCATCGTCGTCGTGCCCTCGCCCGCCTCGCCCGCCTCGCCCGCCGCGCCCGCGCCCCGCTCCTCCACCGCCGCGTGGCCCGTACTTGTGCCGCCCCCTACGCGCGTAGCGCAAGCCGGGGCGGGGCCCGGCATAGCTGCCCGGCGGCTCGTCGTCGCGGGTCGCGTCCGCTGGGGTCGGCTCGAGGTGCGAGCTCGCGACGACGAGCTGCCACAGGTCGCGGGCGACGGGCTCGAGCTCGGCGGGCCAGCCGAGGTCGTCAATGAGGGCGCGCAGCTGGTGGCGCAGGACGAGCTGGATTGCCTGGTAGTGGAGGAAGCGGGCGCGGTGGCCGTGAAAGTGGTGGTTCGAGGGCGGGCGGTGCTTCTTGTGCTTGTTCTTGCGCATGCGGCGGGTGGTCTGGGTGTGCTGCGAGGGCCCTTCCTGGGTGTCGGTCGTCTCGTGGACGTAGCCCTGGAGGAGGTGGCCCTCGTCGCACACGATCGAGCCGGAGAGGGCGTCGCGGTGCCAGCGCTTGGAGCCGCACACGGTGCAGCGTGGGCGGCGCGCCATGTCGAGGGTGGGTGCGGCAGCTGCTCGCCTGGTCGAGCTGGGCGAGGTGCAGGAGCGAGGGAGACAGAGCCGAGCGAGAGCTGATGAAGTCGGTCGAGGGGGGCGAGCTGTCCCTCGTCGGCTCTCGCTCTCGTGAGGACAGACGGATGTGCAACGCAGATTAGAGTACCCTGTCCATCTGCGCGAGCAAGAACAGGCTCACCAGGTGCAGCGGTTGGCGAGCTGAGCGACCAGCCGAGCTAGCACCGCCTCGTCCTCTCGTCCTCCTCCTCACCCTCTCACCCGACCGCGACTGATACACTCGCCTACCAGCTAGAGGAGCAGCACGCCCTCCTCGACACGTACTCGACCCGCCCGATCACCTCGCAGCTGCGGGGACAGCACTCTCGCGCGCGCACGCCATCCTCGTCGTCCCTGAGCTGCTCGTGCCTCGTTCAAGCCTCGAGGTGCGCACCAGATCCTCTGCTCTCTATCCAGAGACTCGATTCAAGCTCACCCACCCGCCGCCCATGCAGTCCCCTTTGCCGAGTGCTCAGTCGCCTCTGTTGCCAGTCCAGCGACGATCCGTCTCCGCCTCGCCCGTCCGCCGCCTCGTTCGCCTCACGACTTCGTACGGCTCGATGCAGGAGCGCACCCAGCTCGACGCAGGTCCGAGCACCTCGCCCCTCGTCTACCCGACCCGCGCCGCCGTTGCCGCCGGGCCCTTCTCGACCGACCGCCCGCCGTCGCCCTCCGCCTCGCTCCGCAGCCGCAACGGCAAGCACAAGGCCACCGTCGACGACAGCCCCGTCGACCCAGCCTCGACCAACACGACCACCGCCGCCCCGCCACAACCAGCACCCGCACCCGCACCAGCCACGGCGCCGCGCACCCGCAAGAGGTGGGGCGGCCTCGTGTTTGAGCTCGAGAACCGCGGCAGCGTCGCGCGCGACCACCTCGCGAGCGAGCGCACCTTTCTCGCGTGGCTGCGGACCAGCCTCGGGCTCGCCAGCATCGGGATCGGTGCGTCCTCGACTCTCCTCGAAGGACGTCGGCGCGTGGGCGGGGCGACGACGGCCTGCTCGCTCGCCGTGCTCCTCGTAGGCCTTGTGGACGCTCACTCTCTTCTCCTCCCCGCGCGCAGCCATCACGCAACTCTTCCGCCTTCCCTCGACGACAACCACCTCTTCCTCCTCTTCCTCCTCCTCCTCCTCCTCCTCCTCCTCCTCCTCCTCCTCCTCCTCCGCAGCAGCAGCATCCTCCCTCTCCTCGGCCCTCGCCTCCCTCGCCACCTCGAACCCGTCCCTCGCGCCCCTCGTCCCCCTCCTCGAGGCGCAGCAGGCCCAGATCGTCGCCGCCGCCACCAACTCTGCGCCGCGAGACTCGACAAAGTACCGCCACCTGGGCAAGCCGATCGGGGGGACGTTCATCGCCCTCGCTCTCGTGTTCCTACTGCTCGGTGCGCTCGACTGCCTCTCTCTCTCTTTCTCGCTCGAGAGGAGACGACCCCGAACGTGCACTGACCCCTTCTCCCCCCTCCCTCCCTCGCGCCCGCCCATCCACCCACAGGCACCCACCGCTACTTCACGATCCAGACGGCCCTCATGCGCGAGCCGAGCCAGTTCCCGCCCTCGAGGCGCAGCGTCGGATTCGGTGCAGCCGCCGTTGGTGCGTCGCCCCTGTCTCTCTCTCTCTCCCTCTCCTACCTTGCTCTCGAGCGAGTCGAGCGAGTTGCACGAGTTGAACGAGGGACTGACGCACCTACTCCCACATCGTCAAACAGCGGCCCTCATCCTCGCGAGCTTTGTAGCGATCCTCGCGACGAAATAGACAGAGCGCGCTCCCCCTTTCTCTCGCTCTCGATCTCTCAGCTGTCGTTTCGACGATTACGAGAGGAAGATGGAACAGATGCGTGTTACAGGGTGCTTCGTGTCGGTGAGACAGGGAGAGGAGAGAGAAGGAGAGAGAGAGAGAGGAAGGGGTCCGAGAGCGCGCCGACAACGACGTCCTCGTCCTCGCCCGCCACCGCCGACAACGACGACGACGACGACGAGACGTAGCGCTCGGCTCGGCTCTAGAACTCGAAGCCCTCTGCGCGGAACATGTCGAGGCTCGTGCCGGGCATGGCCTTGTCGGCGAGGTCGTGGCGCTCCTGCAGGTCGGCGGGTCGAGGGGTGGTCAGTGCGGGTTCGAGGGGTGCGGGAGAGGCGTGGGGAGGGAGAGGGGGAGCGGGAGAGGGAGAGAGAGAGAGAGAGAGAGAATGAGGGGGAGGGAGCGGGAGGGAGGGAAGAGCGAGAGAGAGAAGCGGGAACTGACCATGCACCTGCGAGCGGCGGACAGGAGGACGACGACGTGTCAGTGCGGGTTCCTCGGCTTCATGCGGAGCTCGACAGGGGGCAGGAGAGAGGGTGGGCGGGACGAGGTGTCGAGAGCTCGGGGCGAAGAAAGGAATGGAGAAACTCACAGGAAGGCCCTCCTCAACGTGTGCCACAGGTTCTCTGACCCGTCCGGCGCCCGCCCCATGTCCTGGTCGCCCACCGCACCGACGCCCTTGCGCCCAGCCTCCTCCCTCGTCATCTGCCCCTGGAGCGCCGCGAGCAAGTGCTCGGCCGCCTCGTGGTAGCACCCAATGTTGAGGCACGACACGCCGAGGTTGTACGTCGCGCGCGTAAACGTCGGGCGCAGGTCGAGCGCGCGACGGTACGCGTCGATGGCCGTCTCGGGGTGCCCCGAGTTGGCGAGCGTCGCGCCCAGGCGGTTCCAGAGCGTAAAGTCCTGCGAGCGAGGAACGGGGTCAGGGCTTCGCTCGGGTGCGACGGGTCGGGCTCGAGAGGGGGAAGAGGATTGAGAGGGAGGGGCCGGCAAGGCGGGCGAGAGAAGGGGAAGGGGAAGGAGAGAACCAGGGAGGGAGAGAAAGGAGCGAGGGGACGCACGTTGGGCCTGACGCTGAGCGCCGCCTCGAAGCAGTCCTTGGCCTTGTCGTACTCGCTGTTGCTGTAGAACAAGACGCCGAGCCCGACCTGCACGTCCGGGTCGACGACGCCGAGCTCGTCCGACTGGCCGGGCGCGCGCGCCTGCGGGCCCGCCTGGGCCGCCGCGAGGAACAGGTCGACGACCCGGTTCGACGCGTCCCACGGCGAGCGCAGCGCGGCCGTGTCGAGCGCCGGGAGCGAGATGGACGGGTACGCGAGCGAGAGCCACTTCTCGAGGGTCGCGAGCGCGCGAAGCTCCTGGCCCTCGTTGACGTACGCGACGGCGAGCGACTGCGAGCGACGAGGAGCAAAGTCAGTCCCTGCCTGCTTAGAAGGAGAAAGACAGAGAGAGATGGACGCACGAGCCACGCACTGACGCCGGCCGGCCCGCCGCACGCGACGGCCTTCTCGAGCGCGCGCATGCCCTTTGCCTCGCGCTCGTCGGCCGCCCACGTCTCGCCCGCGGCCTTCCACGCCTCTGCGCGCGTCTCGTCGGCCCGGCACGCCGCCTCGAACGCGAGCGCCGCCTCGCTCAGGGGCGCGCCCTCGCTCAGGAGGCGCAGGCCCTCGGCGTACATGTCGCCCGGGCGCTCGAGGTAGGCGTTGTCCTCCGAGAAGGGAAAGGCGGACTGGTCCGACAGGAACGCGTCGACGTTGTCGCGGGTCCAGGTCGGCGCGCGGCGGATGTCGGGCGTCGTGCCGAACAGGTCGTCGTCGTCCGTGTCGAGCAGGGGCGAGCCGTGCAGGTCGTTGAACTGCGAGCCGTACTGAGCCTCCCACTGGGCGAGCTCGGCGTCTTGAGCGTTGGCCGACCCGAGCTGGCCCTTGAGCTGGGCCCACGTCGCCTCGAGGTCCTTGAGCAGCTGCGCGTCCGACTCGGTCGCGTCGAGCGGGATCTCGCCGTCGAGCACGTTGGCCGTCGCGTCGGCCTGCGGCTGCTGCTGCTCCTGCTGCTGCTCGCTCGTCGCCGTGGCCGCCTCGGCGCCGGTCGCGTCGCCGACTCGGGCAAATTGGGCCTCCCAGTCGGCATCGTCGAGCTCGACAAACCGGCCCTTGCCCTTGGCGTCGGCCTGCTGCGGCTGCTGGACGACGGGAGGTGCGGCGCCGTACGAGCGCATGCCGCCCATCATGCCGCCGCCGTAGCTGCCGTACGACGGCGCGAACCCGGGGCGCGAGTACATAGCGCTCGTCGACGACGACGATGCGGGGCCGGCGGCGGGCGCAAAGCCCGGCGCGGCCGACGCCGAGGGGAAGTGCTGCTGCTGGCGGAATTCGGCTGCGTGCGGCGCGAGGCAGTCAGTCTCGCCATCGAGTCGAGGTGGGTGGGGGGAGGGGACGAGGACGCACAGGCAAAGTCGGACGGCATGCCCTGGTGCTGCTGCATGCGGAACTGCTCGTCCATGCGAGCCATGTCGGCCGGTGACAGGGACGAGCCCGCGGGCTGGTACTGCGACGCCCACTCTGCGTGCGCGCGACGAGGGCTTGGTCAGCGTGGGGAGTTCGAGAGAGAGGGAAGCGAGGGGACGCACCTCGGTCGCCCTTGATCGGTCCAGCACTCGAGGAGCGCGACACGTTGTCGAGCTCGCGGCGCATGGCGTCGAGGGCGAGCGGGCCGGCGGCAGGGGAAGCGGCGACGTGTTGGTGGTGCGGGTGGAAGAAGCGGTCGGCGTCGCGGTCGCCCTGGAGGTGCTGGTGGCCGGGCGGGGTGGCCGTGTAGGAGCGCATCGAGGCGGCACCTGGCTGGCCGGCCTGGTTGGTGCTGGTGCCCGGGGCGGTGAAGCCCTGGTGGTGGAGCGAGTGGTCTTGTTGCTGCTGCTTGAGGAGGGACGACAGCGGGTTGCTCGACGTCGAGCACTCGGCGCCGCCCATCATGGCACTGAAGGCGCTCATCGTGGTCGAGTGCTGGTGGTGGTGGTGGTGGTGGAGGAGAGAGAGGGAGGCGGCGACCGGCCATCGCGCGGGCCGGGAGGCGGCCTCTCGTCTCGTCGCTCCGGCGGGTCTGCAGAGGGTCCAGTCAGCCCTGCAGAGCTCTCGTACGCCTGTTAGAGCACGCCAGACTGCCCCACTTTGAGAGCGCGCCACGACACCGCCCCTTTGCGTCTCATCTCTCAGCTCGATCCTGGCTTCCGCCAACAGCTTGCCATGGAGAAGGTACGCCTCTAGCCACCTCGAGACCGCGTCCAGCATACTCACACACGCTCTCTCGTCCAGGTCCAACTCGCGCTCGAGCGCTTCCTCCCCGAGCTCCGCGACCTCGAGCAGAAAAAGGTCTTCACTCGCGTGCGCCCCTCTCTCCCTCCCAGGCCCTCAGACGGACGCGAGCTGACCTCGAACCGGGCAAACAGGATGAGATCTCGGACATCGTCGCCAAGCGACGTGGCTTCGAGTTGAGCCTCGCCCAGGGCCGTGGCACCAAGCCGACCGACTTCCTGCGCTACATCGACTACGAGCGCAAGCTCGACAAGCTCCGCAAGGCCCGTGCCGCCCGCATCGGTGCGTCCCCTTGTTCTCTGTCCCTCGCAGGCCGCCGAGCTGGACCGCGCCCGGGCTGACCCTCTGTCCCTCACCCTCCGCACAGCCTCGGCCGGCACCAAGTCGCTGTCGGACCACTCGATCTCGGCGCACGTCACGCAGCTGCACCGCCTCGCCGTGCGGCGCTTCCCCGAATCGCTCACGCTGTGGGACGCGAGCATCGCGCACAGCCTCACGCAGGCCTCGCCGCTCCTCGTCTCGCGCACGCTCGCCGCCGCCATCGCCATGCACCCGACCCACACACCGTACTGGGTCCTCGCGAGCCAGTGGGAGTCGGACGGCGACCGCAAGGGCATGGGCGGCGGCAACACCGAGGGCGCGAGGCGCCTGTGCATGCGCGCCCTGCGCTTCCTCAAGGGCCGCAAGGGCGCGAGGCGCGACGACGGCGTCGACGGGCCCGAGGAGCTCGTATGGCGCGAGTGGATCCGCGTCGAGGTCGCGTTCGTCGAGCGCCTGAGGGAGCGCTGGCAGGTGCTCGGCATCGGCAAGGGCGCGACCGAGGACATCGTCCGCGTCGGCGGCACGGCGGCGGCGGGCGAGGACGCGCCGAGCGAGACGGTCGATGACGTGCTCGAGGGCCAGGCCGACGAGATTGCGCTCCCGGGCGCCGACGAGGACGAGGACGCCGAGCTCAAGCAGGAGATTGACGAGAAGGCGCTGTCGGGCCAGGAGGCGCTCCTCGACGGCGCCATCGTGCGCCTCGTCATCGACAACCTCCTCAAGTGTACGTCCCTGCCCTCTCCCTCGATCGTCGCCTCTCCACCGATCCGGCGAGCTGACCCTGCTCTGCGCACGCGCCCGCAGCCTACTCGCACTCGATCTTCGCCTACAAGCTCCTCCTCTCGATCCTTCGCCCTCTCCCTTCCCCTCTTCGCCTCCCCCTCCTCTCGCACGTCTACGCCTCCCTCTCGGCCAACGTCTCGCCCTCGTCCCCCTCGTACCCTGCCGCGCTGCACCTCCTCGCCACCCGGCCCCTGTACGACGTCGCGTACGCGCCGCCGAGCAAGAAGTCGAAGAAGCGCTCGGCCGACGACGCCGAGGTGGCCGAGCCCGAGGACCCGACCGCGATCAAGGTCAGCGGCGAGAAGCTCGTCGACGCGGTCGGCCAGGCGTGCGACGAGTACTGGGCGGTGCTCAAGGGGCTCGGCGGCGGCCAAGGCGGCGGGCGCAAGGCGGCCAAGGGCAATGTTTGAACAATAAAATTAATATAAATCAGCAACTTAAATAGCCTCTAAGGTTTTAAGTTTTATAAGAAAAAAAAGAATATATAAGGCTTTTAAAGCTTTTAAGGTTTCACGTCCCGCCTCTCTCTCTCTCTCTTCTCTTCTTTCTCTTGATTTCACCGCTCACTGTGTCTCTCTCGCGTCGTCCACAGCTCGCCTTCCTGTCGGCCAACCTCGCCTCGGCGCTCGCCGCCGCCCCGCCGTCGGCCTTCCTCGCCCTCCTCCACCTCCGCCACCTCCTGCGCACTTCTGCGCCCTCGTCCCAGGTCCTCGCCTTCTCGAAGAAGATGGCCAAGCAGTTCGGCTCGGCGCCGACGCCGCCCGCACAGCAAGAGCAGGTCTGGGTCGCGCGCCTCGAGACGGCGGGCTCGCTCGCGCTCCCCGACTCGGACGTCGCGCCGCTCTTTGTCCAGGCGACGCGCGCCCTGCCCTACAGCACCAAGCTGTGGGACCTGTACGCGCACTTTACCGAGTCGACGAGCGCCGTTGCGTCGACCCCGGGCGCCGTCGCCGCGTGGTACGAGGCATCGATCCGCCGCGTCCTCCTCACCGACGCGCTCCCGCTTTCGTCGACCGTGTTCGAGTCGACGTTTGTCGACGCGCAGGCGCACCCGCCGAGGGAGCTCCTGCCCCGGCGGTACGCGGCCTATCTCGCGCTCGTCGCGCCCGCGTCGTACGAGTCGTCGCTTGCCGCCCTCCTCTCGAGCGCGCCGACCCTCAGCCTCGACTTTCTGCGGTCCCTCCTCGACCCGACCGGCCCCGCACTGCCGAGCGCGGGCCCGTCGTCGACCCGGTTCCGCCGCGCGCTGCACGAGCGCATCGTCGCACACCCGGACGCCGACGACGCGGCGTGGGTCGACTATGCGGCCGAGCTCGTGCGCGCGGGCGAGGCGGTCAAGGGGCAAGAGGTGGTGCGTCGGGCCAAGGGCGCGCTGCAGCTCGAGGGGGGCGAGCGCGCTGTCCGGGCGTTCGAGGCGCGGTGGGAGGAGGTGTGCCGGGCCATGGAGGCGTAGAGCTCTCGAGGCTCTCGGTCTTTCGCGCGTGCAACTCGTGGCCTGTTTGCGATACATGAGAAGTATCTGCGAGAGGCGCGAAAGGCTACGGCAAGTGCGACGCGGCGCTCGAGCCTCCCGCCGCATTCAGAGCGGCGCTCGAGGTTGCGCTCGTACCGTACCGCGCTTCGGCGACCGCGTTCCGCGCTCTCGCTTCTGCGAACCTGGAGAGCGAGCGCAGCCCGAAGATTTGGGAAGGCCGACCGTCGTCGCTCGGCCGCGCAGTGTCCTTTGACCTCGTCATTCCGGTGCCAACGGCGGTCTCGGCGGCCTCCCGTGGACAGTTGCCGCGAAAGTTGCGCGTGCACAAGCTGGCCGTTCTTCGTACGATCGCCCTGCTGCTGTGCGCGGAAGGGACCGAGCGAAATTGAGAGTCGGCGAGCGGCCGAGGCCAGGCGCAGGTCATCGCCAAAGCTGGTCGGGCAGGAGCTTCCTCCCCTGTCAGCAAAGCACAGCGTACTCGACACGCAAGCACGACAAGCTCGAGCAGCAGAACGGCGAGATATCGAGCGAGCCACTTGGCCGAACCCGCCCTCGCCGACGACCGCCAGACGAGGCCGACCCGTCCTCCTCCCACCTCCGCACAGCGACCCAGGCGCGATCGGGTACCTCCAAGTGGTCGTGCCAGCTCTCTTGTGAGTCTTGCGCCCCTCTCCTGCACCGCGATCGCGTGCGCCGTCGCACCAGGCGAGCCCGCGACCGCTTGCCTCGTCGGAGAGCTCGACGACCTCGTCCCGGCCGGCCTCGTCAAGCCCCGCAGCGCGTGCCGCCCTGTTTCAGCACGACCCGACACGGCCAAGGACGCGGGTGGGTCCATGCCGTCTGCGCGCAGAGCCACTGCAGGACCGTCGCTCGTGCTCGCCGTCTCCGCCTCGAGGTGGGCCGCGGGCGCGAGCAACAGCGAGTACTGGTCCGGCGCGCCTGCTGGACTGTCGTGCCAGGTCCTGCACAGCACACGAGCACTGTGCACCGCCCTGCACCAGTTCACGAGCGCTAACCCTTTCCCACCCCTCGTCCCCTCCCCTTCCTCCTCCTCCAGCCTCGCTCTTCCACCTCGAGCAACCTCTCGTGCGGCGCGTGTGGGTGTGCGGCTCTCTCGGCTCTTTCGTGAGTCCCGCGCCAGCCTCTCTCTCGCCATAGTCCACCTACACGACGTTACTGACCCTCGCCTTGACCCCGCAGCCTCGCCGCCGTCGACGACGCCGTCATGGCCCACCCTCCTCCCCTCCCTCGCCATGCCGATCCCTCCTCAGCGTCCGCCCTGACACCCAGCTCACGACACGCACCACCACCCACCATCCCCGAGCTCCTCCTGCACGCTCTCCCCCTCCCGCACCTCGTCTTCGACTCGAACCTCCGCCTCCAGTCGCTCAACGAGGCGGCGCGCACCATCCTCGGCGTCCCGCCGAGCCACGTCGCCGTCAAGCAGGGAGAAGCCGACCCGCCACCGGGCACCGCGCACGACTTCCTGAGCGCCACCGGCGATGACGCACGAGGCGTCCTCGACGCCCTTGCCGACCGCGAGCAGACGCGCATCGGCAGCGCCGCCTTCTTCGGCGCCGACCAAGGGTGGGCCGAGGCGGACCGGCTCGAGCTGCGAGGCGGCCAGGCGTCGGGCGGGTCCTGGTCCGCCGAGGTCAAGGTGTCGCGCTTCTTCCCGCAGCGCGCCGCCGGCACCAGTACCTCGGCCGACGACCCGTGGTACTCGCTCCTCATCCTGCGACCATGGCGCGACTCGTCCCGGGCGCCGCAACAGCACGACGCGCACGCCTTGCCCGACCCGGCCCTGCCGGCCTCGCCGCTGTATTCGTCCCACCCGGGCCCGTACCGCCGCAAGGACTCGTACAACCACGCCGACCGCACGCCGACGCTCGGATCGTCGTCGTCGACGAACCCGTTTGGCCTGAGCGCCATCGCCGAGCGACGAGCGTCGTCCTCGGCCCTCGCAGCGGCGGCGGCAACGACCACGACGTCGCGAGAAGGCGACGGCTCGAGCTGGGAGTTTGAGCAGCCGTACGGCGCGTCGACCACGGCGACGGGCGACGGCGTCGGCGACGTCGACTCGCGAGCAGACGCCGCTCGCACCGGCGCGCCGCCGGCCCCGGCCGAGTGGCCCGAGGTGTCGCGCGCCGCATCCTCCACGTCGTCGTCGTCGGCTCGTGTCGCGCCGCTGCGCATCCCGCACGTCGCACTCGCCGCCGCGAGCGCCATCTCGCCCCGCACGGCCGCAGGGCAGGGCGGCAGCGGCGGCTCGAGCGGCAGTTTGAGCGCCGGCAGCGCGACGTCGCTCCTGTCGACGGGCACGGCGACGACCGCCAGAACGTCGCCGTCGTCGCGCGACGCAGTCGGCCGGCCTCCGAGCGCGGCGACCATGTCGCTGCCCGAGTCGCTCAAGGGCATGGGCATCGCCGTGTCCAGCGCGGGCATCCAGCTCACCCAGTCGAGCCCGATGGTGACGCCCGCGAGCGAGTCGTCGGCGAGCCCGGCCATGTTGACGACGGCGTACGCGCCCGTCGCCCTCGTGCAGCCGACGACGCCCAACGATGGCCAGACGCCGACGGCGCAGAATCCGGGCGGCATCCCCCTGCACCTCCCGATGCCGCGCTCGCGCCCTCCGCACCCGCTCTCGATCTCGCGCTCGTCGCCCTCGGCCTCGTCGTCGTCCGGCGGCGGCAGCCCGGCCATGTCGCCCATGCAGTACCCGCTCCTGTCGCTCGGCCGACCGCGCTCCCGCCCATCCCCGACCGCCCGGCGCAGTCAAGCCCGACCCGCCC